GCGTTTTGGCCTAAGGGGAGTCATCTGACCCTAGGCTCAAATACTCTAGAGTCGTTTGAGCCTGGGGAGTCATTTGACCCTACGACGAGGCAGGCGTTTTGGCCTAAGGGGAGACATCTGACCCTAGGCTCAAATACTCTAGAGTCATTTGAGCCTGGGGAGTCATTTGACCCTACGACGAGGCAGGCGTTTTGGCCTAAGGGGAGTCATCTGACCCTAGGCTCAAATACTCTAGAGTCATTTGAGCCTGGGGAGTCATTTGACCCTACGACGAGGCAGGCGTTTTGGCCTAAGGGGAGTCATCTGACCCTAGGCTCAAATACTCTAGAGTCATTTGAGCCTGGGGAGTCATTTGACCCTACGACGAGGCAGGCGTTTTGGCCTAAGGGGAGTCATTTGACCCTAGGCTCAAATACTCTAGAGTCATTTGAGCCTGGGGAGTCATTTGACCCTACGACGAGGCAGGCGTTTGGGCCTAAGGGGAGTCATCTGACCCTAGGCTCAAATACTCTAGAGTCATTTGAGGCTGCGGAGTCATTTGACCCTACGACGAGGCAGGCGTTTTGGCCTAAGGGGAGTCATCTGACCCTAGGCTCAAATACTCTAGAGTCATTTGAGCCTGGGGAGTCATTTGACCCTACGACGAGGCAGGCGTTTTGGCCTAAGGGGAGTCATTTGACCCTAGGCTCAAATACTCTAGAGTCATTTGAGCCTGGGGAGTCATTTGACCCTACGACGAGGCAGGCGTTTTGGCCTAAGGGGAGTCATCTGACCCTAGGCTCAAATACTCTAGAGTCATTTGAGCCTGGGGAGTCATTTGACCCTACGACGAGGCAGGCGTTTTGGCCTAAGGGGAGTCATCTGACCCTAGGCTCAAATACTCTAGAGTCATTTGAGCCTGGGGAGTCATTTGACCCTACGACGAGGCAGGCGTTTTGGCCTAAGGGGAGTCATCTGACCCTAGGCTCAAATACTCTAGAGTCGTTTGAGCCTGGGGAGTCATTTGAGCCTACGACGAGGCAGGCGTTTTGGCCTAAGGGGAGTCATCTGACCCTAGGCTCAAATACTCTAGAGTCATTTGAGCCTGGGGAGTCATTTGACCCTACGACGAGGCAGGCGTTTTGGCCTAAGGGGAGTCATCTGACCCTAGGCTCAAATACTCTAGAGTCATTTGAGCCTGGGGAGTCATTTGACCCTACGACGAGGCAGGCGTTTTGGCCTAAGGGGAGTCATCTGACCCTAGGCTCAAATACTCTAGAGTCATTTGAGCCTGGGGAGTCATTTGAGCCTCCTACATGTACACCGGCTCAGTAAAAATATATGTCCTGTCACGTATGGAGGGAATAGGTCCCAAGCTGCCACTTGATTAGCCTACATGTGCTTACAGTTATAGACAGAGATGTTAACGAAGCCGTGGTAGTGGTCATCAGTTCAGAGCTCCAGATAAGCTTTAGGTGTTGTGGGTATTTTACCCATGCATTTTATAATTTTATATATCAGTAATTCTATCTGGGTATTCAAATTTCTGTTACCCACAATTTTTTTACACATGTGGGTATCTAAGTTAAATATTTAAAAACACTATTCATCAAGTCCCTGCAAACTGGTGGCGTGTGGGTTCAGGAGCTTTATAGGACTCAAAAATACCACGATACTTCCACAAGAAAGTGTGATGGCGAATGATCATGATGTAAATGTCATCGTGAAGTTTGACAAAGTTGATGGAATGCCCGTTTATAATTTCAAAATAAGTTGCTGATCTGCTAATCGAATACGCAGGATTACTTCACAATATTTTGATGATACGCACAAGTTTTATTTTTGTAGCGTATCTGTAATGTTCGTTGCGTATTTGATACGCTTGGATTTTATTTTACTGCGTATTTCTGCATTTCTGATGCGTATTTCACGCAGATACGCAGCTTATCTGGAGCTCTGTCAGATGTATACTCGATTCAGGAGAATGTAAAAAAAAACCGTCATTAATCCCAGAAATTAGATTTTTATGTACCGATGACAAGTTATGGTAGTCCTCAGTGACTAGTAGTATTTGAACCCCTGAAGATCCGGGGTAGAATAGGTCTTCAGCAACCCAAGCTTGCCATAAGAGGCGACTAACGGTATCGGGTGGTCAGGCTCGCTGACTTGGATGACGCATGTCATCGTATCCTAATTTCATGATGGCTCATGATGCCAATCACCGGATTGTCTGTCCTGGACTCGATTATTTACAGAGAGCCGTCATATAGCTGGAATATTGGTAAGTGCGGCGTTAAACAACAAACAAACATGACGATTGTCGATTTCTCTTATGTAAGGAATCCGTTGAATATGTAGAGCTGTTTATGGACATGTAATCAAGACACACATTCACGTTTACATGTATATATGTATATGTGTATAAATACACCATCTGTGACAATATGAATATGAATGAATAATATGAATAATCAATTAAGTGACCTTTAGCATGTATATACTCATGGCCGTGCTGTCGCAGGCAGTGGAGGTTCTTTTACTGAAATCTCTGAACAAGGATTTTGTTTCATGTCCTCTGTTTAAAATTTGAGTGAGTGAGTGAGTGAGTGAGTGAGTGAGTGTTTACGCCGCTTTTAGCAACATGCCAGTTGGTTGGTTGGTTGGTTGTTTAACGCCGCACTAACAACCCATGCTTGCCGTAAAAGGTGACTATGCTTGTCGTAATAGGCGACTAACGGGATCGGGTGGTCTGGCTCGCTGACTTGGTTGATGCATGTCATCTATCCCAATTTCGTGGATCGATGCTCATGATATCAATCACTGGATTGTCTGGTCCAGACTCGATTATTTACAGACCGCCGTCATATGGCTGGAATATTGCTGAGTACGGCGTTAAACAACAAACCAACCAACTTAAATGTGTAATCCCATGTACATTTTTATAACATTGATTGCAGGGTGACATTAAAAAGTCTTAATAATCAGTTCATGTATCTACCAGCAATCAGCAACATCGTTGAACATCGCTCTACCCCGGATCTTCACGGGTCTCTTGAGACGAGATTTTTCCATGTTGACACATCCCTATATCGTGTTTACATTTACATCGTATTTATCTTTCATCAAAACAACAGCATATGATTGCCTTTAGCTGTTAGCTGTCATAGGAATATAGCAAGTAAATAAATGCGACAAAACAGTTTATTATTCAACGAACCATTTGCTTACATGTTTTCCTATTTGTATGGTGATTTCTCATCTACAGGATAATGATTTTTGTTTTTAAGTATTTGGTTTACATTATGAAATCCTATACATTGAGTTTATGTTAATATTCAAGTCTGAAACTGAATGCACAAGCTTGTCCACGGTAAAGAGGAAGGACACCATCCGTCAAAGTGTTTGGAAAGCTAGGAGAGAGACCAAAATAAGTGAGTATTAATCTCCCAAGAATGTAACCATTTTGTTTAGAATTGCGTTCAAATGTAACAAATGCTAAATTTGGGATAACACTTAGTAAAATACAGAATCTTGTACTTTTTGGATGGAGTCCCATCTGGGATTCGAACCCACACTGCCAGAGTGAGGCACCTAATCACCAGCACACAAATTCAGTGATCTAGGCTTCCAGCCACCGAGGCTTCCACAACAATGGAAGTGCGACAACTGGTAGTCTGGATCACGTACTTTGTGTACCCCTCTGACAAGTGTAAATTGGCACGGCTCCTGTGGCCAAAAGCTATGAACGCACACAGTGCCATTTAGAAAGAGGTCAAATGAAACAAATGTAATATTTGGGATAACACTTTCTTAGTACAGTACAGATGCTGGTACTTTTCGAGTCCCACCCAGGATTCGAATCCACGCTGCCAAGGTGAGGCACCTAACACTGTGAGGTCTTACTTGTGTTCATAACTCTCTTAATGGCATTGTGTATTCATGTGTGTTCGACCTGTGAAGATTCTGGGGTAGAACAGGTCTTCGGCAACCCATGCTTGCCGTAAAAGGAGACTATGCTTGTCGTAAAAGGCGACTTACGGGATCGGGTGGTCAAGCTCGCTGACTTGGTTGATGCTCATGATATTAATCACTGGATTGTCTGGTCCAGACTCGATTATTTACAGACCGCCTTCATATAGCTTGAATATTGCTGAGTGCGGCGTTAAACAACAAACCAACCAATCATGTGTGTTCAAAGTGATATCTGAACTTTAGAAACCGCCCATTAACGGTTAGAATTCCAGGGTGCAGCACTAAATGTATGTGTTAAGCTCATTTCTGTTGCCACCTGTGTACGCCTGATGCACGTTGAAGAACAGTTACTGTATGTCCTGTTCGCCTGAATACTATCAGGGTCTGGCATCACTGGCAATAAGAACACACACACACTCGACTATCAAACAAAACAGATTCCATTGGGCCTAAAAGGCAAAATAGCGGTAAAAATTATATGAATGCATGACTGGAAATCAGTGATCACACCAGGGTTTCGTATCCTACCCTCAGCACCCTCCACTCAATTTGCATTTACAAATTCTGGTGTAGTTGTGACAACTTTGTTTGTTGTTTAACGCCGCACTCAGCAATATTCCAGCTGTATGAAGGCAATGTGTAAACAAAAATCAAATCTCGACCACACAATCCAGTGATTGACATCATGAGCATCGATCTGCGCAGCTGGGATACGATGACATGCATCAACCAAGTCAGCGAGTCTGACCACCCGATCCCGTTTGTCGCCTCTTACGACAAGCATAGTCGCCTTTTAGGGCAAGCATGGGTTATTGAAGACCTATTCTACCCCGGATCCTCACGGGTCGATCACACCTGAAAAGAAGCAAACACGTGCGCACGGCAAGAGAACATTTAATAGTTTAAGTGGGATGCTGAAGACCTATTCTACCCCGGGTCGGTGTCCATTTGAGGGTTATAACCGTTTAAAGCACAGTAGAGTACATGCTGGGTAGGTAATGCCTCGTTCTCTGTTGATATCTGGCTTGTTTCTTTGTCGTTTTGAAGAGATGCACAACGAAGAAGAATTTGGTGAAATTGAATGCGTCCCCGTCTCCGATGTGCTCCCAAACAACGATAATGACAATGAAAGGAAGGACAGAGGGAAGTGGAGTTCGCAAATGGATTACCTGTTGTCTGTGATTGGTTATTCTGTTAGCCTCACAAACGTGCTCCGCTTTCCTTATATGTGCAGTCAAAACGGCGGAGGTAATTGCTGTTCATTCAAAATTTTCATAAAACTCTCAAGAGCAATATTCCAGCTTCATGACGGCGGTCTGTAAATAATCGAGTCTGGACCAGACAATCCAGTGATTGATATCATGAGCATCGATCCACGCAATTGGGATCAACGACATGCATCGACCAAGTCAGCGAGCCTGACCACCCGATCCCGTTAGTCGCCTCTTACGACAAGCATGGTCGCCTTTTAAAAAGGGCAAGCTGGGGTTGCTGAAGACCTATTCTACCCCGGATCTTCACGGGTCGCAATAGTGAAACAATATAGCATTTGTCACCCACAACTTGCTTCAAAAGGAGATATCGCTTGGGTGAGGTCTAGAGATATTTCCTCGGAGATATTTGATATCTGAAAAGACCCTCGGGTGAGATTCTCTCTTTATGAGTTATTCCTAACTATACTTAAATAAAACATCCATGTGTATACATGCTCTAAGGACCAACCATTTCATATTTTGGGGCGGACTGTCTGGGATTTTATTGAAAAGATTACATTCGAGCACGGTGTTTTGGGGTTATATTAAAATAGTTAGGCTCCAAGTTTTAATAACGAATACATATCTGGTTTTGTAAACTACCATTAAAACCTTCCAGAACATTATTGGAAACTTGTCTTTTCCATCTAGGTGCTTTCCTCATTCCATTCATCGTGTGCCTGGTGTTGTGTGGCCTGCCTCTGTTCTTCCTGGAAGTCGCCATTGGTCAGTTCTGTGGGAAGAGTGCAGTCCACGTTTGGGTTGTCTGCCCACTAATGAAAGGTAGGCTTCTTAGACCTGTGACCCATGAAGATCCGGGTTTAATCATCTTCTCGAGGCAAGAAACTTAACTGACTTTCAGGCATGTGAAATCTCCGTGGAAACGCGGAAAATCGCGTTTTTTAAAAGAGTAGTCCTCGGATAAAATCATCTTCCGCGTAAAAATATATTCATAGATTAAAAAAAAGAAATACACTCCGAAAAATATGATCGAAAACCGGACAACCTTCGCGAATTGTCCTGTTTTCGATCAGAGCTTTCTGCAGCATAGGTTTTCGGACATCATACGTTTTCTATCACGAACACTTGCACTTTAATGTGGGGTGTGGCGTCACACATAAATTGTAAATACTCAGTCAGATGATGGCTTGTTTTTAAGATAAAGTCGTCTTTTAGCCTGTAAGTGAATGAGATGTGTTACTGTTTTTCATGTGAGTAGCGAGAAAACTATGAATGTTTCTTCAGCGTCCAAAAACCCATAACATGGGGATATATGTTGTATTAATGTCTTATGTTTGCAATGGAGTTTTGTTTTTTTCAAGGTAAGTAAGGTAAGGTAAGTAAGTACAAGGTAAGATGTTTTCAATATACTTCAACATGGGGAAAGGGTCAGACATTTGCACACTTGTGACAGTTGTCCTTGTGTCTGGGGGATGGAGGATTTTAGTTTATGGCAGTATTGCTCCCAGACCTTGAGGGTAGCCAGGTGCGCGGAAGCTATGCCCGATTTTTTAAAAGTATTGATTTAACTTCGAAATCTTGCTGCATCTGCCATCTTCTTTATCTGACTTAGTGACTTTTGCCATTGACTTTTCTTGGTGTGAATGTTGTCCAAACTGCATGAAATTGCTTAAAATGCCCCCAGACCCCCCTAGACTTTTCCTCTTTTTTTTCGGGAAAACCTGCCCACATCCCTGGACTTTAAAAGTCTAGTTTCAACCCTTGCCGAACAAGGCTGGAATTCCTGGGCTCGATCATAGCGCCACCAGGGGTGTTACGAGTTATGTCCCTTCTAAGCCTCTCCTATGACCAATCAGATTCCACTTCTCGTATCACTTGCAATTGTTTCAGACACAATGGCGGCGCCCTGTCAAGACGATCTGATCGATAATCAACATCTATATTGTGGTATAGAGAATCTCACCCGAGTGTCTTTTGATATCAAATATATCAACACGAGTTGATAAAAGTGGAAAAATAACGAGTGTTGATATATTTGATATCAAAAGTCACGCTGGTGAGATTTTGTTTATCATCCAACATCATTCTTCCAACTTTTTCAATTTGTAGACAGATATCAGCAGCGTCTTCAGTGTAAAAAGTACTGCTAATAGCTTCAGTAGCAGAGCCGTTAGTGATGTCATTTGATTGTGACGTCATGTAACCAGTGACGTCACAATGGTCTGCAAAGCATTGTGATGTAATTTCATTGCAGCAATATCTACAGTGTAGATATCGCTTGATCTCATTCAAGCGATATCTCCTGTGGGAGCCAGTTTTGGATGATAAAAAACGGGTCTTACATCGCGAAGTGCATCAAATCACGCGAGCACCTTGATTAAAAACATGAAAAGATTTGGAAAATATCTGTTGACAACGAGTTAGCGGTGCACATGCATTGCAAATCCTGCAATCGACCGAAATCTGCACGACATTTTACGAACCGGATTTCGATTTCGTTGCGCGATTATGATTGGACTATGCATAGACTCGTTAGTCCAGTCAAAATGTAACTCTATAATAGCAGCCTAGTTCGGCAAGGGTGGAAACTGGACTTTCATAGTCAGTTAATTCCCTTGCCTAGGGAAGATGGGTTAAATCAGAGGCGACAAACGAAATCGTGTGCTCAGGCTCGCAGACTTGTTTTTTTCTGGTCCATGCTCGATTATTTCCAGACGGACGTCATTATAGCTGGAATATTGCTCAACAAACGAACAATTTTAGACCTTTGTGGTTCCATATTGACCTTGTGGTCTCGTTATATATATATGGTTCATGCATGTCATCGGTCCCAATTGCGTAGATCGATGATATTAATCACTGGATTGTCTGGTCCAAACTCGGTTATTTACAGATCGCCGTCATATAGCTGGAATATTGCTGAGTGCGGCGTTAAACAACAAACCAACCAACAACTTTATCCACCAGGTGTTGGAATTGGCATGTTGACTATCTCTGGTATTCCCTGTGTTCTGCGCCTTGACTCTCTACAACGCAGTTTGGAATCCTTGTTTACTTTACTTTATCCACTAGGTCTTGGAATTGGCATGATGACTATCTCTGGTATCGGCGTGGCAGTATACACTGTGTTCTGTGCCTGGACTCTCTACTACGCTGTCTTCTCCTGTAGAACAATCCTACCCTGGACAGACTGCACACGCTCCTGGAACTCTGAACAGTGTTTCCAAAGTATAAAATCTCTAAAAGGTAAGCACAGGTTGGGCTTAGTGCAGATGCCATTCAGTCAGCAAGAAATTATTATGAGGGCACTCGCCCGTCGTCTTAAGCACGCAATGCGCCCCGTATAGAGTGAGTGAGTGAGTTGGGTTTAACGCCGCTTTGAACAGTATTCCAGTTATATCACGGCGTGTCAGCCTAATGTTGGAGGAAAGCCCGAAGTGATGCAGGCCTCAGACGTTTACCACTTCGGTGAAACCAACGAGCACGGGTATGGTGCTGACAAACCTAGAAACATAATCGGGGTGAACCGGGATTCGAACCCACAATCATAGGTTTCTGGCGTGCCTTAGGGACGCAACTCTGCACAGCCAATCGCGGCGCCTTAGACGACTTGGCCACCCGTGCCACCCGTGACCCCTGTGTCCCTTATAGAGGTCGGTCCGCTTGAATGCTAGTTTTGGCCTAATTCTGGCCCTTGGTATGTCAGCATACATGTGCATTTCTTTTCACTAAAGTCATATAGGCTTTCTCCGCACGCCTTTTTACACAGAAATACTGGTGAAAATTTGCATTTGCGCAGGTGGATAATTGAGTGATGCGGCGTATTGTTCTGCGTCACGTCTAGACAGTGAAGACTAAAAAAGGTCTTTACATCACATGCAAAAACAGAAGCATCCTCAGCCTCAGCATTTCCTGAACCCCCCCCCCCCCCCCCCCCCCCCCCACACACACACACCACCACCTAAAACCAACAAAAAAAACCCAAAAAAAACATAAAAACTTTCTCACCAGAAACATGTTTCATGAACCATTTTGACTTTACCACATCTGATTGGTTTGTTGTTTAACGCCGCACTCAGCAATATTCCAGCTATATGACGGTAGTCTGTAAATAATCGAATCCAGTGATTATTATCATGAGCATCGATCCAAGCAATTGGGATCGATGACATTCATCAACCAAGTCAGCGAGCCTGACCACCCGATCCCGTTAGTCGCCTTTTACGACAAGCATAGTCGCCTTTTACGGCAAGCAAGGGTTGCTGAAGACCTATTCTACCTTGTGGCATGCCCAAATAAGTACAGTTTTGAAACACAATGTCCTGGCATCTTGCTACTTTAATAGACAAATTTAATAGACAATTTTTTAGCACTTCCGGTTGATAAAATCATTTCCGGTTAAATGACCTTAACCTTCAGCCTCAGCAAGGAACTGCCTGCTTGAGATCATGAATATAAAATTATGGCAAATTCCAATCGTAAATACTCAATATATTGTCAGAATACAAGATGCTTGGGACCTCTACTGCCAATCACATGCGAGAACAGTACTTGTTACAAAGTCTCCATTCCTTACCAATGATGTTTCTAAAATGAAACTTGTCCGTGACGATCCGGAGTAGAATAGGTCTTCAGCAACCCATGTTGGCCGTATAAGTCGTTAAACAACAAACAAAAATCACACATTTAAATAAAATTATTTACAAGTCATTTCATATATGAATTACCATTGACAACCATGATACAAGACATGTATTGGTTTAACTGTTGAGGGTCAGTCTTAATGCTTAGACTTCTCATGAATAAACCGAAACTTCATGCAGTTTGAACCATGTATCAATAGTCGGACCTCAAGACACTGTGACCTTTCACGGAGGTCATCAACGCGATCGAGACTCCGCCAAAATACTGAGTGCTGCTTGCAATATTGTGGCTTGAACATATTATACATTTACACCATAAATAAACTTATTATGCCTCAAAGTGAGATTGACCAATCAGAGAGCAGATCTACTGACCCCAGACCAGCCCGTATACCGTTAGTAAAAATCCAAGATGGTTGATACCGACCTAATATGAGACCGTATACCGTCAGTAACAGCCATCTTGGATTTTCCAACACCCACCTCACATGTTTCACATGGATATTCTGGTATCGATATTCGTTATGTGACACTGTTTTGTGTTTTACTATCATTAGTTATGATGTGCAAGGACATTAATATGTTTTTAGATCACGTTCGTGACGTTATTGATAAAGATTATAGTTAAAATTTTCAACAAGGTTTGGCCTCTAAGGTTTGAAGAGTTGTCTCCCTTTGACCCTTCACGTCAACGTAGGGTTGAAAGTGTCAAGTGTTCATTTTGACATGACACGTGCGATATGGACACCGCAGAGTGTAAACTTTTCGGCATAATCAATTCGTTATGGTGTCTTTAGTTGTCGTATACGGTGTCACGCCTCGCCCAATAAGTTTCAGCTAACCTAATATGACACCGTATACGGAAACTAAGACATCATAGCTAGTAATGTCATCAAAGGACATTATGATAACTAACATCACAAATTTACGTTTGAACCAAGTGGTAGGATATATACCAACATAATTTTCGGGCTTTATACATCGCCAGGAAAAATAGTAAGTTAACCAAACCGTCATTTCCCGGTCCCAGTGATGTTACAATTTCATGCAATTTGTTTGTTTCTTGTTTAACGCCGCACTCAGCATATTCCAGCTATATGACGGCGGTCTGTAAATAATAGAGTCTGGACCAGACAATCCAATGATTGACACCCCTTTTGCAGTCATCATTGCTCATGATTTGTTAATTTCAAATATCAAAAGATAAAAAGTTTTGTTTTTGTTTGATTTGTTTGTTTGTCATTTAAACGCCACAATCAGCATTATACCATCTATATGACGGCGGGCAGTAAATAATCGAGTATGGACCAGACATCAATCGGCTTTGAAAGGTATGGGCATAACGAATACCAACTGTTCATATGCAGCCATCACCTCTACAGTGTTGAAGGGTAGCGAGATTAATTCCACGCTGGTACCAATCAACCGGACCAGAGGTTTTGCTTTCCGAGGGTGGGAGAATTCAACACAAGCTCACACGGCAGCTGAAGAGTTCTGGCAGTAGGTACATTTTGATTGCCGATTATAGGTTTGTTTATTTGTTGTTTAACGCCGCACTCAACAATATTCCAGCTATATGACGGCGGTCTATAAATAATCGAGTCTGGACCAGACAATCCAGTGATTTACATCATAAACATCGCAACTGGGATCGATGACATGCATCAACCAAGCCAGCGATCCTGACCACCCGATCCCGTTAGTCGCCTCTTACGACAAGCATAGTCGCCTTTTACGATAAGCATGGGTTGCTGAAGACCTATTCTACCCCGGATCTTCACGGGTCTTAATTTGATAGTAGATATTGATGAAAAATGCGGAATCTACCTGGGGTGATTTCTGTGTTTAGACACAAGGTCCTCGGTATCACCCCAGGCCTGGAACACCTGGGCAGCATCAAGTGGGAGCTGCTACTGTGTCTCTTGGCCTCATGGGTTCTCATTTTTGGATGCGTTTTTAAAGGTGTCAGGACTGTCGGAAAGGTGAGACAATTGTTGACATAAACATGAGATGTTTTCAATCTTAAAACAGATAAGTAATTTATATTAAAGAAAGTGTGAACTGTCATTTCAGTTTGATCGAAAATGATGAGATGTTTTCAATCTTAGGATATACTCAACCGCAAAAGAAACGTCACCATGGATAGATATATGAGAAACCTTATTTGTCCAAGCACTGTAAACATACTTTGAGACATATTAAAAAGATGAAACTTGGCCAAACTGATCATCAAGGGTGAAATTAAAGTGTCACATGTTCCTAAAGTGGAAGACAACACTTGTCGCTGAGAAAATGGCATCACAAGTCAGTATTTCGTGTCTCCGCAATTTGCATTGATGACATGGAATGGATGAGGCGGTTGATGAAGGCCACAGGCACTTGAGCCCACGCTTTGAGGACCGCCTGACGCAGTTCAGCTGCAGTTGTCGGCCTTGGTTAGACGTCATTTAGCCTTCTTTGAATCTCGTCTCACAGGTGCTCAATTGGGATTTAAATCGGGACTGAGGGCAGGCCACTGCATGGTTCTGACGCCATTCTGCTGGAGGAGGTCTCTTGTTGCTCTCGCAGTGTGGGCACGGGCGTTATCATGCATAAACTCGTGGTTGCGGCGACGTGCCAAATGAGGTATGGCGTGTGGTCTCAAGACTTGATCAATGTACCGAGCTGCTGTGACACAATTGCCACACCCTGGACCGATGTTCTGGAAGACCACAGGGTCGACCCTCTGTGCAAGACCGATTCCACCCCAAACCATGATGCTCGGACCACCCCACGAGTCTCAACAACACAAGCATCCGAATAACGTTTCCCACGGCGTCGCCAGATCCCCGGCCATTTGCTGTTGAGATACAGTAACGGGTCACGTGTTAGAAGAGGACTCTTCTCCACTGCTGATGGCGCCAATACTGGTGCTGTGTTGCCCACTGAAGACAGCCCCGGCGATGAAGTGGTGTCAGAATGGGTCCTCGGCGTTGCCTGTGACAGTAGGGGTGTCTGCTCGTCAATCTTGACGCACGGTGTCCGCGCCAATGTGTCGCTGGTGTATCCCCATGGTCTGTCGAGCAGTTTCCACAGCAGTAACAAAGCGATCTTATCAAACTCTCGCTCAATCTGACGATCCTGTCAGGTGGTGACCCTTGGTCTTCCACTACGTGGTCGGTCATCTGTAGTGTTGGTGGTCTGGTACCGTTGCTGCAGCCTGCATATGGTCCTTACGTGGACTTGAAATGCATTGGCTACTTGCCGGGCGGTTTGTCCAGCATGCAATCGTCAAAGGGCTTGGTGTCGCTGATTTCTTGTCAACCTTGGCATGTGGTAGCAATTCAATACCGAATGAATGTTGAATGACGAAATGGGGGAACGCGTGTACAATTCAATTTGCACGGAACTCAGTGCATCGGGTTACCATGGCCGTTGCCGTGTTGCGTTTGGCGATCGGCTTTATTGTCATCTGCTTTGTTTTTTTATGATCAAATTTCCTTTTTCGGACAAAGTGATGTTAAATTGTAGAAACTTTGACAAATATTACCCAGATATTTAAATGACAACTTTTAATGCAATGTTACTTTGGTGACGTTTCTTTAACGGTTCAGTATATAATTATTATTAGAATAAAAATAGAAAGTGTGAACTCTCTTTTCAATTTGATCGAAAATGATGCTTTTAGTCAGAATCAAACATTACATGCTCCCATACTTATCAAAATGGATCAGACCGCCTCCGTGGTCTTGTGGTAAAGCGTCCGCCCGGAGAGCGGAAGGTCCGGGGTTCGATCCCCGGCCGCGTCAGACCAAAAGACGTTAAAAGATGGTACTTGTTGTTACCCTGTCTGGCGCTCGGCATTAAGGGCCTAAAACAAGGACTGGTCGGCTCGGAGTCAGTATACTGTGTCTGAGTGGGGTATTCATGTTAAACTACGGCACGGTATCTCATAGGGCTAGCACTATAAATCGGCATCAGTCGGGACTAGTACAAGCAGCCACACACACACGTGCATGCACGTCGCTATATAAGTGCAATAATCTTGGACGCTACGTTAAACCCCATTTCATCTCACCTCACCAAAATGGATCGTCGGAACAAGCTCACTGTATATCAGAAAGGTGATTGTTCAGGAACCACATGTGTGGCTCACGTGTGTTCACAAATCAAGACACAAAAATAATTCTGGTAAACATCATCTTTTTGCAGGTTGTATACGTGACAGCAACACTGCCGTATATTTTCCTTTTCATCCTGCTTATCCGTGGCTTGACGTTACCAGGGGGACCCAGCGGTGCTCTCTTCTACCTAACCCCCGACTTCAGCAAATTACAGGACATACAGGTACATTATGATAAGTTCTTGATGCTGTTTTGACGGCTTGAAAAGCCGAAGGAAATGTCATAAAACACAATTAAAACCCTGAATACACCAAAGGACATAGTCATGTCATTTCAATGGGACATGCTAGCAATCATTGACGTACAGTTGGTTTGGTTTGTGTGTTGTTTAACGCCGCACTCAGCAGTCTTCCAGCTATATGACGGCGGTCTGTAAATAATCGAGTCTGGACCAGACATTCCAGTGATTGACATCATTATCATCGATCCACGCAATTGGGATCGATGACATGCATCAACCAAGTCAGCGAGCCTGACCACCCGATCCGGTTAGTCTCCTTTTACGAAAAGCAAAGTCGCCTTTAACGGCAAACATGGGTTGCTGAAGACCTATTCTACCCCGGATCTTCACGGGCAAGGTAACAGATTGATGTACATGAATTATAAAACTACTTAGTATTGTTGAGATTACCCTATGGGAGAAACAAATGTTATATTTGGGATAACACTTTCTTAGTAAAGTACAGATTCTCGTACCTTTTTAGTTGAGTCCCGCCCGGGATTCGAACCCACACTGCCAGAGTGAGGCACCTAGTTTGTGTGCTGGCGATTTTCCCATGTGCGCGGGCACCTCATCCTCATCATGAAAGGAAATGTTCTGTATCATACATTATAAATAAGTATATGAATAACTAATTGCTTGTTTTAAAAATTGAAGTGACGCTTTTATGAACAGAGATTTTGAAGGTTCTCCCCAGGAGGTTAAATTATCGTAAACTGATTTCCCCCGTGTGACATGTAATTCCTATCACCAAGCAGTGTTTTTAAGCCAACTCATTGATGAGTATTATTTTAATATTGGCTAGCATTGTGCACAACCATCAGTGGCTAAAGTGATGACGTAAATCCTGCTAGGGTATCATGCAGGAAGCAGAGGTACTGTAAGTCCCCATGATCCCCAATGAGGTGGCCTAGCTTTGGTTAACCAGTGTTTTAAGTCAACTTATTGCTGATCATTTAGGAGATAAATCTACTGTGTTTTGAAATTTGATGTAGTCCCACTGTAGAGTTAGATACCTCTTATTGTAATTTGGAGCCGAGCGATTTAGCACAACATTCATCTTGATGGTACGACCTTTGGCTAATCCACTCAATCAGTCACAAGTTGTCACTCTACGAAACGTAATATCAAAATATTTTTATTTCACATTAATGTTTTCTCAATCCTTTTCAATTATTAATGTACGCACATGCATTAGAAACAAAGTAGGGGCGGTCGGGTAGCCTAGTGGTCAAAGCGTTCGCTCGTCATGCCGAAGACCTGGTTTCGATTCCCGACATGGGTACAATGTGTGAAGCCCATTTCTGGTGTCCCCCGCCGTGATATTGCTGGGATATTGCTAAAAGCGGCGTAAAACCATACTCACTTACTAGAAACAAAAGTATTCACAAATGTAAGCAATGGTCAATCAAAGGGGCTCAATGCGGGCATCGTTCCTGTCGGGCGGTGTACATTGAACACAATAGCCCGTCATCACTGTAACTGTTAACAAAAGCGTTAACAAATATCAAACAATAAATAATGTCAAAAATGGTCCTACCTCTGCAAGAATAGATTGGAACATTGTTGCATTACACACAACTTACATTACGAAATTGTATTATGAGATCATGACCAGATTGAGGGGTAGAGTAGGTCTTCAGCAACCCATGCTTCCCGTAAAAAGTGACTATGCTTGTCGTAAAAGGCGGCTAACGGGATCGGGTGGTCAGGCTCGCTGACTTGGTTGATTCATGTCATTGATCCCAATTGCGACCCGTGAAGATCCGGGGTAGAATAGGTCTTCAGCAACCGATGCTTAGCGTAAAAGGTGACTATACTTGTCGTAAAAGGCGACTAACGGGATCAGGTGGTCAGACTCGCTGACTTGGTTGATTCATGTCATTGATCCCAGTTGCGACCCGTGAAGATTCCGGGGTAGAATAGGTCTTCAGCAACCCATGCTTGCCGTAAAAAGTGACTATGCTTGTCGTAAAAGGCGAATAACGGGATCGGGTGGTCAGGCTCGCTGACTTGGTTGATTCATGTCATTGATCCCAGTTGCGACCCGTGAAGATTCCGGGGTAGAATAGGTCTTCAGCAACCCATGCTTAGCGTAAAAGGCGACCAACGGGATCGGTTGGTCAGGCTCGCTGACTTGGTTGATGCATGTCATTGACCCCAATGTGAAGCAAAATGGTTTTATTTCGATCCAGGTATGGCTTGGAGCCTGTGCTCAGGTGTTCTTCTCTCTTGGCCCAGGATGGGGAGGCGTCATTACACTCGCTAGCTACAACACCTTTCATGCTGATTGCCTCAGGTAAAATGTGTCCTGTGTTGACAGACACATCCTTTAGCTTCAAGTCTTATGTATTTTGTTTGCTGATAACTAAATGTTGGTTGGTTGATCTGTTGTTTAACGTCGCACTCAGCAATATTCCAACTATATGACGGCGGTCTGTAAATAATCGAGTCTGGACCAGACAATCTAGTGATTGATACAGTGAGCATCGATCAACGCAATTTGGATCGATGACATGCTTCAACCAAGTCAGCGAGGCTGACCACCCGATCCCGTTAGCCGCCTCTTACGACAAGCACAGACGCCTTTTACGGCAAGCATGGGTTGCTGAAGACTTATTCTACCCCGGATCTTCATCAATGCAGACTCAATATATATACAACAGAAATATAGAATGATTAAGATGAAACCATCGATGCTTGATTGAAGGGCTTCAAACAGTATTAACTTTGGCGTACTGCCAGTACTTTAGTTCCTATGGCTATCACATATTGACATTTTTGGAAAGGAATGCAGTCATCTGTACGTTCGTTTGTGGAGGAACCAGTTTGTTTGCCGGATTGGTTGTCTTCTCTGTTCTTGGATTCATAGCCCATGAAGCAGGCGTGCCAATCACAGCGGTTGCGGCTTCAGGTAATTGTGACTAACACATACTGTATTCGACGTAACAAGCGCCCAGGGCGCTCTCAAAATTAGAAATAGGAGGCTCTTATTAAAATATTATTTTGGTGAAAAAAAACAGAGTTGAAAGATAAATTTCGTGGTTAATGCTGACAGCCTGAAATGTTTATATACGACATATATATTTTTCCAGAATTTAATTACCCATAATCCAGGATGCATATAACTCACAAGTGCATATTATACGCGAATGAATAAATATTTTGTAAATTGATAAATCGGAAGGGGTGCTGATTATATTAAGAAATATCGCCGTGGGCGCTTATTAGAGCGGGGCGCTTATTACGTCGAATACGGTAATCAAGTTATCAATATCACACAACCAAATTGGTAATGTCATTGAGAGGGGATTACGCCTTTTGGGATAAACAAATTGAGATTTTTTTCTATTATTGATGGACACTGTCTATAAATGCTTCTTTTAATTCATCTTCCAATGCAAACCATGACATCAATATTTGTTCCAGGCCCTGGGTTAGGATTTGTTGTCTACCCAGAAGCCTTGGCACAATTTCCTGTCCCTCAACTATGGAGTTTTCTCTTCTTTCTTATGCTCATGTTGTTGGTATTGGATACACTGGTGAGTAAAGAGACATATCTCTGACATCAATAATTAAATTCTCAAGTATCCAGTGTTTTACATCTCAGTATTATTTTAATAAATAACGAGGGCCCATTTGCTAGCATCGTTTTGAATCCGATTCGAATGACAATGCTAAAGTCCAAGCAAATCATGGGCGAGAGAACTGCAGTTAGTTTGTTTGTTTGTGTGTTGTTTAACGCCGCACTCAGCAATATTCCAGCTTTATGACGGCGGTCTGTAAATAATCGAGTCTGGACCACAGAATCCAGTGATTGACATCATGAGCATCGATCCACGCAATTGGGATAGATGACATGTATCAACCAAGTCAGCGTGCCTGACCACCCGATCCCGTTAATCGCCTCTTACGACAAGCATAGTCGCCTTTTACGAACTGCAGTAAGAAACGGCATGAAATGATATGTGGATGTTGAGATCACCTCCCCATCTAATTACATCAAGATAGGGGGCACGCGTGGCCCAGTCGTCTAAGGCGCCGCGATTCGGCCTATTATTGAGGGTTCGAATCCCGGTTCGCCCCGATTATGTTTCTAGGTTTGTCAGCACCATACCCGTGCTCGTGCGTTTCACCGAAGTGGTAAACGTCTGAGACCTGCATCACTTGGGGCTTTCCTCCCACATTAAGCTGACACGCCGCGATTTAACTGGAATACTGTTAAAAGCGGCGTTAAACCAAACTCACTCACTCACATCATGATAGATACACAGATGCGTTTTTAATTATTATGAAATAGATTGATGGTATCTTTAATTGAATGTGTTTGGCCCTTGTCCTTTATTGACTTGCACAAAATGCAACTAAAGTGATTTTTTTTTTACTTTTGTAGTTTTCAATGGTTGAAACTGCTTTATCTGTCATCCTGGATGAGTATCCCTTCCTGATGAAATGGAGAAGCTCTATTGCTCTTGGTTACTGCATCGTCTCCTTTCTGATGGGAATTATATTCACCACTGAGGTCTGCATTGAACAGTTGTTTATTTCTTTACAAGAATATGATTTATTGCGTGGATGAATTAATATTGTAGATCGTTCTATGAAATATATGAACAAATTAACGACAATTTAATATCGCTTCTATACTGCCTTGACAATTTTGGTTGATTTCTTCCGAATGTCGTTTCAGGGTGGGATGTATCTGTTTCAACTGACCGACTGGTATATTGCCTCCATATTCCTCATCTTTGCTGGATTTCTGGAATGCATCGTACTTGGGTGGATATATGGTATAGCTATTATTCCTATCAGTATTAGTAGAATCGTCATCGTTGTTGAACTACAACAATAATAATAATGATAATGATGATGATGATAAAAGTGTCATATCATATTGGCCCAGACTAAGTTTTTTTCAAGAAGAGGCTACCTGAACGACCACTGCATCGAGTTTGCGTGCAGTGTGTTGAGAATGTCAGCTTTTCAAGACTCTTTGATCAGAAATTTTATTTTTTTAAACTTTTTATTCCTTAACATATTTGTATTTCAAATCAAAACGACGCAACATTCCTTATGTATAGGATAAAATACGCCTCCGAGGTTTTGGTTGAAAATGTAAAACCGATCCCTTTGGCTTTTCGTTTGCTCGCGTTTTTACATTTTCAACCAAAACCTCGGAAGCGTGTTTTATCCAATTTATGAACCGTCTGAATCTAAGAAATACCAGAAAAAATCGACATACCTTATCGTGAAACAATACGCCAAACGCGTGCGAGAGAAAAAACACACGTTCAGCATGCACTAACTGGAGTCACGGCATGATACATTAAACAACTTTTCATCACCTGCTTCGGTAGCTCAGCCGGAAAACAGTCGTTTACAAAACTTAACACGATATGTGAGGTTGCAGGTTCGATTCTCGACCTGCAAATTTCATGTGAAAAAATTTCAACCAGTCATCTTAAAGAATTGTGTTCACAACCAAGAGGCAAGTTTATGAAACGTTAACTGTAAAACCAAGGTATCACAATTGAAATGTAAAACCTCAAAGCAGGTTTAGAATAGACCCATTTCAAAACCAAGGTTTGGAAGAGAACCGATTGAAACTTGGGTTTGGAAGATGAGCTGGTAACTAAGTTTACCCGGGGTAGTCAGAAACCCAATGCAGTATATGCTTGCCATAAAAGGCGACTATGCTTGTCGTAAAAGGCGACTAACGGGATCGGGTGGTCAGGTTCGCTGACTTGGTTGATGCATGTCATCGATCCCAATTGGGTGGATCGATGCTCATGATGTCAATCACTGGATTGTCTGGTCCAGACTCGATTATTTACAAACCGCCGTCATATAGCTGGAATATTGCTGAGTGCGGCGTTAACAAAAAACCCAACCAACCAACCAATACAGGGTAATACAGTGATATAATTTATATATTTTGCAATCAGCTACATAACTCGACCATGATCAGCGAAATGCACACTGAAATAAGAAATTTTGAAGGTCTTTTTCAAAGACTCATTTTATTCTTGTTTTTTTAAAGGAAATTGAATTAATTCATAAATTTTGATTGCTATATTTTGTAAATAAATGAATAACTTTTATCATTGGTAGTATGAATCAATAACTGAGATTATTAGTGGATGTATCCTCGAAGGGGGTTGAAGTAGTATAAAATTATTGTCCCCCTGAGAGGGTATGTAAGACCACGTCTTTCAAAGTATGTTTATTTCTGCCACGTTTTTAATCGTAGTATATATGTTCCTTTAATTTGGGCTAAATTTGTCAATAATCGCCAACAGCTGAGGGGATGATGTAAGTCCGGCTGGGGTCCATGCAGGTAGCAAAAGTACTTCAAGTCCCCATGGACCCTAGCATGGTGATCTACCTTCAGCTGCTGGTGATCTATAGCCTGTTTTTATTGTAGTGTTTCATATAGTGGTATCTTTTTTATAGTTGTATGCTCGTTTAAAATATTAATCTGTGACATTCTAGTAATTTTACTATCCATCGATGACAGGTTTTTATTTAGTTCAGATACATGTAGAAATAATGTATAATTTCTCGTCACGATATGGGGCGGTCGGGTAGCCTAGTGGTTAAAGCGTTCGCTCGTCACGCCGAAGACCCGGGTTCGATTCCCGACATGGGTACAATGTGTGAAGCCCATTTCTGGTGTCCCTCGCCGTGATATTGCTGGAATATTGCTAAAAGCGGCGTAAAACCATACTCACTCACACTCGTCAAAATTGAAAAATTACGGATGTGACGTAAAGCGTAGACTCACACACTCACTCACTCTCATTTCGTTTGGCATGTTTATACTTTTCTTTATCGCAGCGATCTTACAATGTTTTTCACATACACATTTTGTTATATCAATGATATATTTACAAATGATTATTTCTTTCATGATGTGCTTGTATTTGTATCAGGAGTGAATCGTCTCAGCGCAGACATCGAGCTGATGATAGGTAGACCAGTCCCGTGGTTCTTCAGACTCACATGGCGTTATGTCACACCCACTCTCCTTCTGGTGAGTCTCAGCATGGCCAGAGTGAGTTAGTGGGTTGGGTTTTACGCCGCTTTTAGCAGTATTCCAGTTATATCACGGCGTGTCAGCTTAATGTGGGAGGAAAGCCCGAAGTGATGCAGGTCTCAGACGTTTACCACTTCGGTGAAACCCACGAGCACGGGTATAGTGCTGACAAACCTTGAAACATAATCGGGGCGAACCGGGATTCGAACCCACAATCATAGGTTTCTGGCGTGCCCAAGGGACGCAACTCTTCACAGCGAATCAATTAGACGACTGGGCCACCCGTGCCCCCCAGCATGACCAGAAGTGTATTCGGAATTGTTAAACTCATACATTTGCAATCCACGCAAGCCTGTCCACCTGATCCCATTGGTTGCCCCCTACGACAACCACCCACCCACTCCCAAACAGCACCCAATGCATTCACCCACTAACAATAACCCTTGGGACTCCAGGTGCACTAGGTCCCCAGCAACCTATACTGGTTGTAGACCCGTGAAGATCCGGGGTGGAATAGGTCTTCAGCAACCCACCCCTGCCGTAAAAGGCGACAATGCTTGTCGTAAGAGGCGACTAACGGGATCGGGTGGTCAGGCTCGCTGACTTGGTTGATGCATGTCATCGTGTTCCAATTGTGTGGATCGATGCTCATGATGTCAATTACTGGATTGACTGTTCCAGACTCGATTGTTTACATACCGCCGTCATATTGCTGTGTGCGGCTTTAAACAACAAATAAACAAACAAACATCCCACAATAGTCCCGCGTCTGTTGTTTCAAAGACCGAGTGTGTGTTGTTTCAAAGATCGAGTGGGTGTTGTTTCAAAGGCAGAGTGTGTGTTGTTTCAAAGATCGAGTGGGTGTTGTTTCAAAGACCAAGTGTGTGTTGTTTCAAAGATCGAGTGTGTGTTGTTTCAAAGGCAGAGTGTGTGTTGTTTCAAAGATCGAGTGTGTGTTGTTTCAAAGATCGAGTGTGTGTTGTTTCAAAGATCGAGTGTGTGTTGTTTCAAAGGCAGAGTGTGTGTTGTTTCAAAGACCGAGTGTGTGCTGTTCAAAGACCGAGTTTTTTTTTGTTTTTCACAACCGAGTGTGTGTTGTTTCAAAGACCCAGTGTGAGTTGTTTCAAAGACCCAGTGTGTTTTGTTTCAAAGACCGAGTCTTTCCGATACCGATGTATTTCACACATTGTACGCGTGGAAATCAGAATGTGGGAAATCGCACCGGAATGACGAGCGAACATTTTAACCACTTTTCTACCTCACCGCTCCTAAAACCGAAGAAATCATAAGTTAATACTTGGCATGCCTATATCTTATTTGATAAATGTTAATAAAGTCTATGATAAATATATTACTTGGATGTTTCAGATTGTTTTCATTTCCACTCTGACCAAATACGTGCCCCCGACGTATGGCACCTATGTCTATCCTGACTATGCTGCTTCTATCGGCTGGACACTAGCCGTCATACCCTGCATCCCATTTGTTGTTATGATGTTCGTGGCCATTTACAGAGAGAACGGCGCCATATTGCAGGTTTGTTTGTTTGTTTGTTTGTTGTTTAACGCCGCTCTCGGCAATATTCCAGCTATACGAAGACGGTCTGTAAAAAAAATCGAGTCTGTACCAGACAATGCAGTGATTTGCATCCTAAGCATCGATCTACTCAATTGAATGTTGTTTGTAAGTTTTTTTTGTTTAACGCCACATTAAGCAGTGTCATTTATTCATATTTCGGATCTGTGCCGTTTTCAGGGAATACATTTGGTTGGTTGGTTTGTTCTTTAACGCCGCACTCAGCAATAGTCCAGCTATATGACGGCGGTCTGTATGAATAATCGAGTCTGGACCAGACAATCCGGTGAGTGATATAATGAGCATCGATCCACGCAATTGGGATCGATTACATGCATCAACCAAGTCAGCGAGCCTGACCACCCGATCCCGTTAGTCGCCTTTTACGACAAGCATAGTCGCCTTTTACGGCAAGCATGGGTTGCTGAAGATCTATTCTTCTCCGGATCTTCACGGGTCCCAGAAAATGGCATATCCATTTGAAGTGCAATGGCTGTAGTGCTTAGAAAGCATCACAGAGCATTGTTGTTTCGGAATGTTCATCAAGTTCAGTAGTAATAATAGTTATTAGTTGTCATATTTGTCAAGGACATTAGAAGTACAGTGCCTTGATAATGGCGATAATTGTTTGCTCGTCGTAAGAGGCGACTAACGGGATCGGGTGGTCAGGCTCGCTGACTTGGTTGATGCATGTCATCGATCCCAATTGCATGGATCGATGCTCATGATATCACTCACTGGATTGTCTGGTCCAGACTCGATTATTTACAGACCGCCGTCATATAGCTGGAATATTGCTGAGTGCGGCGGTAAACAACAAACCAACCAACCAACCAACATCAAACAATAGTTATCATTGTGAATAATTCTAAGAATACCACCTCTATCACATCAGTGCCATAAATTCCTGTTTATGCTGAGAACCACACTATAAATTTTTATAAATTTTCAACAGACGTCCACTACACTGCCAACATATCCATAGTTGTGAGGGAAACCCTATCCCTTGCCAGAGGCGCCACTGCGCATGCGCAAGGCGGGAATCTAGTCACTTCTTTCAACCCATACTCTCATCAACTAGATGCAGATATTTGGGGAGGTGGGAGGGATTAATTCCTGATGTGATAGAGGTGGTATTCTTAGAATTATTCACAATGATAACTATTGTTTGATAATTCTTGTGAATACCTCACCTCTATCACATCAGTGCCAGTATACACCAGAGGGACCGGCGGGTTCTGGTATCTAGCATCCCATAGATATTTGGCTAGTGAAGTGGTAAAACCAAGGATTATATGCCAAAAGGGGTCTTAAACGGATGTGTCTAATAGTCTACTTACAAGACTTAGACGTATAGAATTTTCAAGGCGTCATGTGAAGGGTATATGTATATTCCCTTGTGATACTTAGACTTTTTAGTGACGTCGTTTCCTGTGATGACGTCATCTGTGACGTCACTTCCGGTGATGACGTCATCTGTGCCGTCACTTCCGGTGTCACTATTCTCCCGTATCACATATGACGTGGTTTACCGTTATGCCCTTTTGGATAGTGATATTTAACGTATCTTAACGTTTCTCCGGTGTGATGACTCCTATGACGTCACTTCCGGTGGTAGTACATTAACCTTCCTATTATGTAGATTACCGTATATCACTTAATCCTTCGATCTCTGATTTCAGTGTTGACATTTGCCCTGTTTTACTAACTCAATAGCGCAGTCCAGTAGCAAAGTACAACTTACCCTGAGTTCCTGAGGTACTTCTGAAATCTTCACCCCCCCACCCCTCTTTTTTCCCTTTCCTGGAAGAGGGAGGGAACAGGTTACTTTACTTGGTAACTATCACCTGGGCGGCCACCAAAGGCCCCAGAGTGTATAGTCCATTTAGATCGGTCTGTATGTCTCGTAAGTAAAAGTTTGAAAAAGTGTTTTGGGACTTCCACTGGCAGCTGGCCACGATTTGTTCGATGGATGCAGTATTCCATGTGGCTAGGCTTGTTGCCAGTGCTCTGATTTCGTGGGGTCTGCAGCTACCCCAAATCGGAGTGGAGATTTGTGCCGTTTTATAGCTATCTGTGGTAACTGTTTTTAGCCATCCCGCTACAGTGCCCTTTGCGATGTCCTTTTCAGACGAGGGCTTGCAAGAGATAAATAGGCGTTTTCTCTGCTTTCTGTGGGGTTGAGTCGCTGTGATAAAATATCTCAAGGCTCTTATGGGGCAAAGCAATCTATCCGGGAAGTCCACACTTTTACTTAGAGCTGGTATTGTGTATTGCCGATGTCCGAGTTGGCCGAAGGTTGACGACTGGTTTTTGGCAATAAATTCAGGGACGGATCTGAACGACACTGCTTTCCATTCTTTGGTATGGGTTACAGTGGAGATATCAATAGCGTGTAGTTCTGACACGCGAGCCGCCGTAGCCATGGCTAAGAGAAAAGCAGTTTTCTTGGAGACTGATAGTAATGTCGCACTACCCATGGGTTCATACGGTGCTTTCATCAATGCCGACAATACTATAGATAGATCCCATTTAGAAAAAGTACGTGGTACTTTTATATCTTCCAGGTCAAAAGACTTCATAAGTCGATTTAGTACTGGATGGGTACCTATAGATAGGTCATCGTGTTGTAATACTGATGACAGGGCTGATCTATATCCTTCGATAGTGCCGTGTCGTAATTTCTTGTCGTTTCTGAGATGGGTCAAGAATTCGGCTACTATAGGTATCGTTATATCTCCATGTAACTGTTTCCCTCTTCTCCATTCGACGAACTTGTCCCATCTGTTATTATATAAGGCAGATGAGGCTGGTCTCCATGAGCTAGTCACTCTTCGTGCAGCTGATTTAGAGTAACCGGCGGCTTGCATCTTATGCGAGATAATTTCCAAGCGTGAAGATGGAGGTTATCGAGGCGGCCGTAAAATATGTCCGTCTTTGGTTGTCTCAATAGGTCGTGACGTACTGGGAGTTTCAGCGGTACTTCTAGCAGGAGTTGTAGAAGTCTCGGAAACCAAGCCCTTTTGGGCCAAGCCGGGGCTATGAGAATTATGACACAGTCCGTTTCCTCTATTTTCTTCAGTACTCTGTCTAGGAGAGCCCATGGGGGAATGCATAAGCAAACATTCCCTTCCATTCCATGGAGAGCGCATCGACTTGGAGTGCTAGTGGGTCTGGTACTGGGCTGACGTAGACTGGTAGTTTGTTGTTGAGACATGTGGCGAATAGATCTATGTTTGGAGTGTCCCATATCTGGGTTATCCACTTGAACACCTCGGGATGTAGTGACCATTCTGTGGGTACTATCTTGTTTTTCCGGGATAGGTAATCTGCTAGTATATTCAGCTTCCCCGGAATGTGTCTTACTTCGATCTTGCAACTCACTGAGTTCACCAAGGCATATAAACATGTAACCTCCTTCAGTAAAGGCTGAGACCTTGTGCCTCTGTAGGTTAAATCTTGGATAGATGTGAGCGGGCATAGGCGAGACATCCACCAGCGTCTCGACTTGACGGCCTGATCGATTGGGCTTTGTTATCATGTGCTCTACTCTTGCATATCTGTCCTCTGGGGGTGCTGCTATGCCCTTGTTGAGTAAAATCTTGCGCCTATGTAGGTGATGCCTGTGTGGGTACTAGCTCTGTTTTAGAGGGTGAACCAGGAAACCTAAGAGTGTTAGTAGTGAGGCACACTGTGTTTAAACTAATTGCGCTTGTCCTGATCGGCCAATAGGAAATCGTCTATATACGAGAAGCCTTATGAGCTTATATGGGCGCAAACCGATGATGGGATTGGTGATCCTGGTGAATAACCATGGGGCTAATGATATGCCGAATGGTAGTACCCTGAACTGGTATCTCTGACCGTTGACTGCAAAGCGTAGGTACCTGGAATACTGGGGAGTAGAACCCGTGAGTGGTCTCTGACTCTTTTAAGGTGCTGATAGCCCCTTGCTGAACTTGTGTAATCTTGGGTCGATGTCTGTGAGACCGGCTAGTTCGACTGGATTCGATGTGGTCGTATCTTTGATCTTCTGTAGTTCTAAATCGTTGTCCATTGGGCAAGTGATGTCGGTAGGGTCTGAAGGCATTTCTGGTGGTATCCCCTTCGGGGACTGCTTCTGCTTCCTCCTCTGCGAAGTGGGATGATCATCTTTAGCAGGAACTGTGCTTCTTGACGTTAGTCCGGTTGCTGATTGAAGGTCTTCCTGCATCTTCAGAATGTGTTCCAGTGAGCTGTTGATGAATCCGGTCTGCTGTAGTGTCATCTCCGTGGGGTGTCTAAGTGTAGGCCTACGTTCTGATTGTTCGGGGTATGACGTTAGTAGAAAAGTTCAACGATGCTCGGCTGCTGTGCGCAGGGGCAACTTGTGTAATCACTCTTATTAATGGCAGGCATACCCAGTCTAACATTAAGTGCCGAAAGTAGCATTTAATGAATATTCGATTCTTGATGACGTCATCAATATATGACGAACAGGGAAGGGTAAGGAATTCTAGAATCAACTGACCGGTACCTCCTACCCGTCACGTTCTAACAAGGTCATCTTGTATTTTGTCCTTGTATCTGTTTTAAAGGGCGGGATTAGATTTATAGAGTTCTGCAATGATATGTTAATGGCATAATTATTTGGTCTATAATTAACCTCCGTAGTAGAATCCCCACTGTATAAAAAAAACAGTATTAGCAATAGATCCGCACCCCCTACTCGGGCTGTGCTGAGACTGGGTCATATGGCTGAGGGTAGCGTAATCCCGGTCGTCTGATCTACGACTGGCCGTGCGGGAATCACGTGTTCTATAACTGTGATAGTGACGTAACATCTCCCTCGCTTCTCCGCCCGTGTAACTGGACTGTGTGGCAGTATGAGATGGCGCATGCTTAGGAATTCTATCCTGATTAGCACGAGTTTTGTCAGTTCGTCTATCTTATGGCTAGAGGGAGAATGGTGTGTATTTCTGAGCATACTACGATGCAATGTCCGTGATTCACGATCTGCCCTATGGTGTACGTGGTAGGGAGGTAATCTCTTTTTTGTTCTCCTGTGTCCTCATAATAATCAGATACAGCGTAGGCCTTGCATTGTTTGCTGTATGAGGAAGTACTGCCATATTCAGCCTTATATCTCACTTAATCTCGTGCTTATCAATCCCCGTTTGGTCATGCCGGGTTTGTGCAATCAATTCTTTTAGAGTTTAATTACAACATTGAGTTGGTTAATTTCTCCGAATCCCTTTAGTTAAAAACCTGTGAGGTACATCTGCTCCTCAACTTTATTGGGAGATCCTTAGGTCTCTTGAATCTCGTGATCGACCCCTGTTGGCCAAGCCCGGGTTGTGCGACAGATTCTTTTGGATATGAGATTTCCGGAGACATTGATTGCATGCGCTTTTATCAATCTGATCGACCCCTGTATGGTCAAGCCGGGTCATAGATTGCATGCGTGCGTCAATCATAACAGACATTGAATTTTGTTATTTTTTCCGTGAACTCATTTAAGTTAAAGGGGGAACGCGGCAGAGAGTGAAAATCGTTAGTTTCTGTCCAAACTCGACGATCGACCGTACCAGACGTTGCCGGATGCAAATTAGAGGCACTTTCTCTTTGACCGGCAAAATGCATCTGCTCCTCAACATTATTGGGAGAGTGGGATGAGCGACGGGGTCTCTTCTCATAAGGTGAGACGGCGCCCTCGCGCGACACTCGCGCTTTTACGCTTTATACATCATTACAGACATTGAATTCCGAACTCATTTAAGTTAAAGGGGGAACGCGGCAGAGGGTGAAAATCGTTAGTTTCTGTCCAAACTCGATGATCGACCGTACCAGACGTTGCCGGATGCAAGTTAGAGGCACTTTCTCTTTGACCGGTAAAATGCATCTGCTCCTCAACATTATTGGGAGAGTGGGATGAGCGACGGGGTCTCTTCTCCTCATAAGGTGAGACGGCGCCCTCGCGCGACACTCGCTTGTAACCCACGTGATTAATATGGCCACCAAGAGCTTAATCACTTGTTTTTACTTGATGCGCTAGTAATCTTTGTAATCAGGATTGTTGATACATGCCTTGTAGAGCTTGTCAATTTTCTCCTTTGACAGAGGCTCGCAATAGCTGCACCTTGACTTTTGTGTGCAGTTGCTAGAATGATAGACATCTGAGGTGAGGGTCACCAGGTATCTGGTGTTGCCCACAGCCTGAACAGACGGGTGTCTGTCCTTGAGATGAAGATCTCATCCCACAAAACGTTTCTAACTAATTACTTACTAGAACTTCCGATCTTCTTATACCCCCGTTCTCTGCTTGTAGACTGCTCACTGCTTGTAGCCTATGAAGCTTGAGAAGATCTAATGTGCTTTGTAAGTGTGGAACTCAATCACGTGTACGGATGTGCAACAAAATATTTTCCTTGTTGTCATCTGGACACACAGGAAAGAAGTGACTAGATTCCCGCCTTGCGCATGCGCAGTGGCGCCTCTGGCAAGGGATAGGGTTTCCCTCACAACTATGGATATGTTGGCAGTGTAGTGGACGTCTGTTGAAAATTTATAAAAATTTATAGTGTGGTTCTCAGCATAAACAGGAATTTATGGCACTGATGTGATAGAGGTGAGGTATTCACAAGAATTATTGATAATTAGAACTGATCAGAATATTTATATTTTTATTTATATTCATAATCCACAGAGAATCACCAAATCTCTGAGACCTGCTGGATCCTGGGAACCAGCCAACTCACCATACCGGGAGCTGTATCATGCTAGAAACAACACAACCACCACTGTCAGAGATGCTATTATTCCCTTGGTATCTTGTCAACAGCAATCTTGAAAAATATTGACCAAGGTAATTGAGTTGATCTTGCTTCAAATTGTGTTCATGTTGATGAAACTGATAATGAAATGAATATATTATTTGTAAATTAATTAAGTTTGTGATTGTAATATAACGATGGCCTGTTATTAACCATTAACATGTATAAAATATAAAAAAGATTTTTAAGTTTTACCTTTTTGAGTGAGTGAGTATGGTAATTTTACACCGCTTTTAGCAATATTCCAGCAATATCACGGCGGGGAACACCAGCAATGGGCTTCACACATGTACCCATGTGGGGAATCGAACCTCACTTTACTGAAATAACTATAGTAGAACAGATAATTTCCCATGAGCGTCAGGATAAATTGAGAAGATTAACAATCTTAGTATCTGTTGGATGTGACATATATATTCATGCTAAATAAATGGAAATGATCATCATTGAGCAGGAGTGGAAACCAAGTTTATTTTAATTCAAAAATACATTCCGGAGATTTCCAAAGTTTAAAAATGTGTAAACCAATTTTAGTAGGCATGAAACAATTTCATTGCGAAGAAACAATGAAGTTGTGAAGATTTAGTTATCGTATATGCATATTATAACGTACATCAAAGAAATGGCAAAACCATTTCTTAATCCAAGTATTACCATCGTGTTAACTTCACATATTTGTAAAAACATGGAAACCTTTATCAGCAACAGGCTCCAATTCCAAGTTTCAAAACAACCTGATTAGCCCAGAATCAGAAGAAATGATGCTGTCGCCGACCCTTAAAACTTCATGATCGACAAAAAATTTCCAAATACCATAAAGATATAAATTGCACACATTTCATTCTGGCCATCCTCAAAATCAACAAAACAAACTCAAAATCAAACACAACCAGTACTGAATGCAATCAAAAATTGGTCTCCCAACTGGACACATTCAAGACATTTTGAGCAAACTGAAAAGGTTCAATCTTTGGATTAATGTACACAGGTATCCATGGTGACCTTTATCCACTGACTGGCCTCACACGCTCTGTCTGTTGTCCTTCCTAGAGAGCTGGGCGTGTGGGAAACTCTACATCTCCTGATCTTCAACTTGAAAGAACCCATAGATTCTGTGTTAATTTGCCTCAAGAACTGCCTTCTTGGACGAGAGCAGACACAGCACTTCCCCTTGTTGGTGTCCTTCCCATCATACCTCTCATCAGGATGAGAAAGATAAGGAGGATTGTGAAGAGCCCCAGCATCTGTACAGCTAAACATGTCGTGCTTTTCGTTTTTATGCTAGTTTCATTTAGAACAAGGATCATTATACATACCTGAAGTCAGACTCCTTTGTTGAAGGGTGCAACTTACTGCTCTTATGGACTCTGCTGATGATGGCGCCGCCTCTCGACCCACTCATGGAAACACTCAGTTAACACAGCAATCCATGCAGTTTCAAACATTAAGCTAACAAACAGGCTTAATACCATCTTCCCGAGGCAAGAGAGTTAACTGTCTATAAAAGTCCAGTTTCCACCCTTGCCAAACTAGGCTGGTATTATGGAGTAACATTTGGGCTGGACGAACGAGTCTATGCATAGTCCAATCAAAATCGCGCACAGAAATCGAAATCCGGTTATTAAACTGTCGTGCAGATTTCGATCGATTGCAGGATTTGCAAGTCATGTGCACTGCCAACTCGTTGTCAGCAGATATTTTCCAAATCTGTTCATGTTTCTAATCAAGGTGCTCACGTGATTTGATGCATCACGCGTTGTAAGACCCGTTTTATCACAATATAGATCCTGATTATCGAGCAGATCGTCCTGACTGGGCGCCACCATTTTGTGTGAAGCAAACGCAAGCGATACGAGAGGTGGAACCTGATTGGTAGGCTTAGAAGGGACATAACTGCTTAAAAGCCACTGGTGGCGCTACGATCCAGCCCAGTAATTCCAGCTTAGTTCGGCAAGGGTGGAAACTGGACTTTTAAAGTCAGTTAACTCTCTTACCTCGGGAAGATGACTTAATATCGATCCTGAACTCTTGATGCTGTTCAACCTACACAATAGATTCTCGTCACATCGCCTGTGGCAATTCGTCCGAAATGACTCAAAGTATGGGCTGCCCTACTAGAGTGCGATTCATCACATCACCAAATCTGTCCAGGAAAAGACTTGCCATCGTTGTCACGCAAGAATACCCTCCTTCATATCCACAATGATTGCAGTGTTGTGTAAGTGTCAACGTCTAGTAAAAGCTGTGGCACAAGAGCTTGGACACTTTTCATCCGGATACATATGTTATGCGAGATAACATTGATCCAAAGGCTTACTCGGCAATCATGGTAATGCTCTCTCGCGATTCGCTGTGCAGAGTTGCGTCCCTTGGGCACGCCAGAGACCTATGATTGTGGGTTCGAATCCCGGTTTGCCCCGATTATGTTTCTAGGTTTGTCAGCACCATACCCGTGCTCGTGGGTTTCACCGAAGTGGTAAACGTCTGAGACCTGCATCACTTCGGGCTTTCCTCCCACATTAAGCTGACACGCCGTGATATAACTGTAATAATGTTAAAAGCGGCGTTAAACCCAACTCAATCATTACTTTTCTTTCCATTAATATTTATCCTTTTCTGCTTGAGATTTGCACAAGAATAAAACCTTTCACAGGGAGCATGGGCTGTCTGTTTACGTTCTAGAGATGCTTGTACAAGTTTAAGGTTGAGCACCTGCTCGGGAGAAATGTCATGTATGATGCCCTTTCCAATGGATATTATTTTTTTACCCAAGATGTAAATATATTTTAACGCCGGACTCAGCACTTTTCCAACCATATGACGGCGGTGTTTAATATAATCCAGTCTGAACCAGACAACTCAGTGATTGACATCATGAGCATCGATCCACGCAATTGGAATACGATGACATGTATCAACCAAGTCAGCGAGCCTGACCACCCGATCCTGTTAGTCGCTTATTACGACATGCACAGTCGCCTTTTACAGGAAGCATGGGTTGCTGAAGACCTATTCTTCCCCGGATCTTCACGGGTCTTGGGTCTCCAAGAGGTAAAACATATCGGTACACATATGTCGGTATCATATAATGGGTGGGTTGGTGGGTTTCTCGGCAGGATAAAGTCAACGAATATAAACGATATCCGTTGGGGTCATATACGGATAGAGATGCAAATATCAAAGGTCAAGTAGGGACTACTTTCAGTGTTATAAACAAACATGGCGTCGCCCTCATCATTCGGCAATCGAGTCAGAATTAACCATCGCGAATCTGGATAAACTACAGGTATAATTGCTATCATTATCGAAAGAGCAGTCTAATATACTGAAAATCAGTGTCTAACTGTGATGTAGGCATTTTATAAGTTTTGGCAACTTTGGAGATATAAATTTCGAAACAATTTTCCGAGGACACTAGGCCTCGCCAAGCGGGATCAGTAGCCATATCTTGGCTTGTAGACCTCTGCGGCTTGAAACCTTTTCCACAAATTAAAATAGTTGAATCGTCGAAATATGTTTGAATTGTTACCTTGTTTTGTCGCTGTGTGTACACCTGACTGCACTTATGACAGAACAGGCGGACTGTCAACGTCTGAACGTGGCCGTGACGTCTCATTGACTAGGGTTAGAGTAGCTTCCCTTTGACAAGGCTCGCTAAATACAATGTTTATTCCTAGTGCAGGATATTATTACCATCCCCAAACACACAAGCGTGATAACCTCTATTTATTTGCAATGTGTACACTTGTCACATTTCAGTCATTCTGGCTTTTTGATTCGCTGACTGTGAACCCTGACCTTTACCTTTTTGCTCCATTCATTCATTCACATTTCGACCTGAGGAAAGTAATGATGCGTTAGTAATTTAATATCAAATTCTGAAATACCCAGGAGAAAAAAAACACATTATCTGTCTTAAACGTGCATATTAGCCATTTTCACTTAACTGCCCATACTTGCATCATGGTTACGTCTCACACATGAGTGAGTGAATGGTTTGGTTTGATGTTTTACGCCGCACTCAGCAATATTCCAGCTATATGACGGCGGTCTGTAAATAATCGAGTCTGAACCAGACAATCCTGTGATTAATATCATGAGCATCCATCCACGCAATTGAGATCGATGACATGCATCAACCAAGTCAGCGAGCCTGAGCACCCGATGACGTTAGTTGTTAGTTGCCTCTTACGACAAGCCCCCCCCCCCCCCCCCCCCCCTCCCCCATTACATTGCGAAACATGCACTTTTAGCACAATCTTATACTATTGATTTAATAAGAATCTAGTATCATTGAATATTGCGAAATTCGGATAAATGTACAACTGTTACCAAACTTTTGCACGTCTTTTCATAAAGGCATGATTATGACACAGTCGGAATATTTTGCATTGTTTGGGGTCAAAGTCATCAAGCAAGATTGCTGGTTTGGTAAAAAAGATTTGCAGGGCCTAAAGTGCAAGTGCGCAACGATTCAAATTTAAACCCCAGCAGTGTGTTGGATTTGGAATCTACAGTCAACGACGAGTTCTGTTTGACGTTCCCTGTAAAAGTGCCATAGGAAAATGTCATGTACAGGTATTAAAAACAATGTCATGAACAGGTGCCATGTAAAATGTCAAATATATATGTTGTCTACAAATCTCAAGTTCCAGATTATGAGGAAGTATCATGTGCATGCTTCATATTCAGGTGTCCTGTACATGTGTCGTGTACAGGCGTGATGTTTTCTCCCTGAGAGGATATGTAAGACCACGTCTTTCGAAGTATACTTATTTCAGCCACGTTTTTAATCGCAGTATATATGTTCATTGAAATGTGTCTAAATTTTGAAATAATCGCCAATAGCTGAGGGGATGATGTTAATCCGGCTGGGGTCCATGCAGGTAGCAAAAGTACTGTAAGTCCCCATGGACCCTAGCATGTTGATCTACCTTCAAATGCTGGCGATCTATAGCCCTTTTTATGACTATTTAGTGATATCTTTTATTGTTGTATGCTAGTTTTAAAACATTAAATCTCTGATATTCTGGTAATTTTACTGTCCATCGCTGACTGGTATTTATTTGTTTTAAATATATGTATAAATACTGTATAACTTCTCGTTACGATATGGCTGAAATATTGCCGATGTGACATAAAGCATAAACTCACTCACTCACTCACTCACTCACTCACTCACTCACTACAGGCGGCATGTTCAGCACCCGTGTACAGATGTCGTGTTGAAAGATTGTTTGTTTGTTTGTTGTATAACGCCGCACTCAGCAATATTCCAGCTCTTTGACAGCGGCCTCTAAATAATCGAGTCTGGACCAGACAATCCAGTTACTGACATCATTACCATCGATCCAGGCAATTGGGATCCGATGACATGCATCAACCGAGTCAGCGAGTCTGACCACCCGATCCCGTTAGTTGCTTTTTACGACAAGCATAGTCACCTTTTACGACAAGCATGGGTTGCTGAGGACCTATTCTACCCCGAAGATCCGGACTTTCACGAGTTGTCATGTACAAGTGTTTTCTACAGGTGAGATCGGTCAAGTTCACATGTCATGTTCAGGTGTTGAGTACATGTGTCATGTTGTGTGTGGGAGGAAGTCTCAAGGGAGAAAGCTAGGGTAAGGCAAGGTGCTCCTGGTACAGTGATGAAGGGAGGAGGTCTCAAGGAAGAAAGCTAGGGTAAGGCAACGTGCTCCTGGTACAGAAATGAAGGGATGAGGTCTCAAGGAAGATGCTAGGGCAAGGCAAGGTGCTCCTGGTACAGTGATGAAGGGAGGAAGCTAGGGTTAGGCAAGGCACCAACAGAAGATCCATTTCGTGCTTTTTAGGCACACAGGGCTTCTTATATTTGTACGAGAATACAGATTGTTACTTCTATATCAGTTGTGAGTTGAAGTTGCTGTGAATGGTATGACTCTTTTATTCAGCCAAATATTTACAATATTTACAGGTATCTCAATATGGTAAAGATATTATGACTGCATCCATGAAACATTGTTCTTTGATGACTGCTTTGTTAAGAAAACAATATACTATTATTTCTGCTCCACTTTGATGTTTAGAAACAAAGGGATTTATCTGGGATTTGGGGGAAATCATGTCTCAGAAACTGACCGTGATATAACCATGTTTCACCAAAAAAACTAAATGTTGACCTTTGACCAAGACATTTTCCAAGCAGATATCACAAAGAGGGTATATACTAAGTTTAATTTGTTTTGTTTGTTTGTCGTTTAACACCGCACTCAGCAATATTCCAGCGGTCTGTAACTAATCAAATCTGGACCAGACAATCCAGTGATTGACATCATGAGCATTGATCCACGCAATTGTGATACGATGACATGCATCAACCATGTCAGCGAGCCTGACCACCAGTTCCTGTTAGTCGTCTTTTACGACAAGCATAGTCACCTTTTACGGCAAGACTAGGTTGCTGAAGACCTATTCCACCCCGGATCTTCACGGGTCCAAAGTTTAATGAAGTAAATAAAAACATTTTTGACGTTTCTCCTCATCTCGTGACCTGAACTTCTGTGCCAAAAGAATACTGAAAAAGTTACTTAGAAGTCAGTGGAAGAAAAATCTCTTGTGGTAATAATATTTAAGTAGGCGTCAATGAAAACAGCACCGGCAATGGTGGTAGTCAATTACAACAAAAGCAGTCTCCCAACTTTGTCATGGTTGGTTGGTTGGTTTGTTGTTTAATGCCGCACTCAGCAATATTCCAGCTATATGACGGCAGTCTGTAAAAAAATTGAGTCTGGACCAGACAATCCAGTGATTAATATCATGAACATTGATCCACGCAATTGGGATCGACGACATGCATCAACCAAGTCAGCGAGCCTGACCACCCGATCCCGTAAGTCGCCTTTTACGACAAGCATAGTCACCTTTTACGGCAAGCATTGGTTGCTGAAGACCTATTCCACCATGTCCACCAAGGAATCTCCATGGGTATAGATTCCCAGCAAACTATGCTTGTGATAGAGTTGACTAAATGAATTGAGTGCTCAGGCTTGGTGACTTGGTTTTGTGTGTCATTGTATCCAAACATCATGGTTGGTTGGTTGGTTTGTTGTTTTATGCCGCACTCAGCAATATTACATCTATATGACGTCGGTCTGTAAATAGTCTAGTCTGGACCTGCCAATCCAGTGATTGATATCATGATCATCGATCCACGCAATTGGGATCGATAACAAGCATAATCGTCTTTTACGACAAGCATGGGTTGCTGATGACCTATTCTACCCCGGATCTTCACGGGTCCAAACACCGTGGATCGATGCTGATGTCAATCACTGGATTGTCTGGTCCAGATTCAATTATTTACAGATCGCCATCGTCTGGATAGAACATATCGTATGTATGCAGACTAGCATTCTGATTTCCTTATTGCCCAAACCCTAAAAAAACATGACATCTGTGCCATGATGTGGATATTTTCTAAACCTTGTCATGTTTGAATTTCCAAATCAAAATTTCCGAATGGAGGGGGGAAAGAAGGAAGCCAATTATTTTAAAATGAGGACATCTGACTGGCTCAAGAACCCACACATCCTTCCACTAGATTGACCTGTCGCGGCTTGCTCACCTGATTCGACCTTCTAATTTCTTCAGGTGGAAAGGCATAGTATCAACATAAAATAGCTGATGTTATTGATATTGTGTACACACCAAATCGCTCACTCTCTCTCACACACACGCCCAATAACATACACACACATCTCAACTACTTAATCACTCACACAAAAGCACTAATCATAAATCATCCCACCCACCCATTCTTAAATGGTAAATCCAACGACTCAAAAACAATACACCAACCTACTCACTCACAAAAAAATACACCCACCCACTTTTTCACTAACAATATACCTACCCACTCATTTACAATACACTCACCCAGTGACTCACAAACAGTACACCCACCCAGTGACTCACAAACAATACACCCACCCACTTTTACACAAAGTATATACCCACCCACCCACTCACAAACAATACACCAACCCAGTAACTCACAAACAATACGACCACCCAGTAGCAAACAATACACCCACCCACTGTTTGTCAGCAATACCCCAGCTATATAACAGCTGGACCAGACAATCCAGTGATTGACGTCATAAGCATCAGTCCACGCAAGCCTGTCCACCCGATTCCATTAGTTGCCGCCTATGACAACCACCCACCCACTCACAAACAACACCCAATGCATTCACCCACTAACAATAACCCCTTGAGACTCCAGGTACACTAGGTCCGCAGCAATCTCATTGAAATCAGACCTTAGTTCTCGCTACCACTAAACAAAGATCTGAAGACATCCCATATGGGGTCACATCAGAACGACCTTTCATCCGACCAATCAGAGCGTCGCTTACCAGATTATGAAAGTGACAGTCGAAATGCGATTTCTAATCATGCAACCCCGAAAACTTTTCACATAGGGTATTCTGAACAATAGTTATGGGTTTAACGACTGAATCCTTACAATCTAGACCATCTATTAGCCATTCCAGAATGTTTTTTTGGTTCAGGTTTCAAATTTGTAAATGAGAATTTGTCAAAATGTTTCAAAGCGTAGTCACCAATTTGAAATTAGTGCCGTAAAGCATGAGAAAGCTGCCTTCTGATTGGTCATTCCATTGGTCGGTCAAAGTTTGCTCAAGGTTGGTCTGATGTGACCCGTAATGGGATGTCCTTAGATCTTAGTTTAGCGGTAGCGAGAACTAAGATCTGATTTTAATGAGATTGGGTCCCCAGGAACCTGTATCGGTTGTGAGGGACGACCATGTGGATCAGGGCAGACAGTCTTGGTGACTTAAGCCCCATTCACATGGACAAACTTTACTCATATAAGCAAATTTACTCATGGAGTATATTTACTCATGTACGCAAAAGTATATTTACATTGCGTTCACATGAAGTTTATGCACGGCAGAAGTAAACATCATTTCATTAATAAATTGTGGACTTTTATCATTTGAGGCCATGTCGCTGTCGAAGATAGTCAACCAGAGGCGAAAGAGAGACTTTCCATACTTTCTTATTAGAGGATTAGTCTTAGGATTATGCCAGGAAAGAGAACTGTGGAAGAGAGAACGTTCTCAACACTGGTGGAAACAATCATTTGATGATAAACTGTGGATCAATAACTTTCGCATGACACGCGAAACATTTTATGAACATGTTATGTTCTTTGCAAGGAACTACAGCTGTATTTTCCTGATTATCAGTATCTTGGAATTAATATGCTTATGTAAGCAAATAGAGAATTTGTTCACATGACCAGAAATACTCAAGGAGCATTTATACTTATGAGTAAATATACTTTTACTAGACCTCATCAGGTGTAGCAAATATACTTTTACTCATGCCTCTCTACTCCTGGAGTATGTTTACTCACGTAAGCAAATGCGTTCACATGCCACCATAAGTAAATTTACTTATGTAAGTATATATACTCACGTAAGTAAAAGTGTCCGTGTGAATGGGGCTTTATTAGTTGAAATTGTGTCATCGTACCAAGACGGTATGGACCGTCACTCTCAATATCGACCACTAGATTATCTGGTCCAAACCCCGTCAATCAAGAAGCTGAAACATTGCTGACTGTGGCATGAAACAAAAAACAAACACGCAAACATCCATCCAACCACTTTTTCGCCCACCACTCACTTCATTAAATTGTCTTAATTGAATTTTCGAGACTTTGATCGAAGGAGTTTAATTCTGCCACAACATCATATTCACAATATCGTGCAGCACGCGGAAGATGAGATGCGAACTCCTTAATTCCCCGTCTTGACAACATATCGGCCCGACAATTTTGTTTCCCACCAATTTGAACAGTAGATAAACTAAATTTATACTTACATACTTCTTCATTAATTTTATTAATAATAAAAGTTTGAATTTTACTGCTCCTCTGTTTTCGAATCCTAGTATTACCATGTAAAGATGTGTCGTCACAATATGTATTAAGTAATTTAACGGTTGACTCATTATCGCAATACGCTTCAATATTCATACCTTGCCAGCCTTTACCATATAGTTTAAGAGCAACCCAAATGGCCAACATTTCGAGATCATTATTGTGGAGTTTGTGCGGGTTCGAATAAGCAGCACTAAATACATGGTAGGTTATTATGTCTTGCCACAAGCCCCCCAACCCAGCCATCCTCTGAGAGAAGCTGCCGGACCGTTTATAGCACGAGTCTGTGTAGAGCTGGACGGCTTGTAGGGTTTCTCTGTACTTGCTGTCCAGGGAAGCTGGAAATGAAAGAATAATTTCAAATGAAAAAGAGTGAGTGAGTGAGTTGGGTTTTACGTCGCTTTTAACATTATTCATGTTACATCGCGGCGGGTCAGCTTAATGTGGGAGGAAAGCCCGAAGTGATGCAGGTCTCAGATGTTTACCACTTCGGTGAAACACACGAGCCTAGAAGCATAATCAGGGCGAACCGAGATTCGAACACACAAATGTAGGTTTCTGGCCTGCCCAAGGGACGCAACTCTGCACAGCGATTTGCGACACCTCAGACGACTGGGCCACCTGTGCCTCCCAAATGAAAAAGAGGTGAGGTGAGGTGATATGTGTCATGTTCAAGAGAAGCTGCATTTGTATAGTGACATGCATGTGTGTGGTTTGGAGGGGGGGGGGGGGGGGGGGCAGCTGTCGTATTACCAGAAATGTGTGATGTCAGAGATGTGTGTGTGTGTGTGAGGTCAACATCCACTTTCCCAGACTGTTTTCTAACAATTATTTTTTACTTATGCACTCAAAACAGCACTGTAACATTTTTTTATATTCCAGCTATATGACGGTGGTCTGTAAATAATCGAGTCTGAACAAGACAATCCGGTGGTTGACTTCATGAGCATCAGTCCACTCAATTGAGATATGATGACAGACATCTACCAAGTCAGCGAGCCTGACCACCCGATTCCATTAGTCGACTCTTACGACAAGCTAGGATCAGCCAGATAATTAATGTGTGTGTGTTTGTGTGTGTGTGTGCATGGACAAAATGCAAAGGTAAAATCAAGATAAAAAATTACCCTTTAACAAATTTTTGGAGTCATCATTGGTGGGACATTTTTATGTGAAGTTTCAGATTCATTTGTTTGTTGTCAGCAATATTCCAGCTAAATGACACCGATCTGTAAATAATGGACCAGACAATCCATTAACTGACATCATCATCAATCCACGCAATTGGGACACGATGTCATGCTGATCTGAGTCTGATCCATTCACTTCCCTCTAATGACCAGCATACTGATTCAAACCCGAAATCGCCAACTAGATCAACGTCCTTATTTCAGCTGGACTTCTGTCATATAGATGGAATATTGCTGAGTGCAGCGTTTAACAACAAACAAATGGTATGCAATTGTAGGACTTTTTGTAACATTGGGGCATAAATTTCAACAGTGGCAGGGAAAGTCTTTATATTACTTCACGTCGTAACAAAAATTCAGGTGTGGCGGGAAATGGGAAACACAGAAAATAATACCAACTGCCTCAGTCTAGCAAGAGAACTTCGTCCAAATCCCACATAAATCCCCGCCCAGTTAAACCAAGACACTGACTGAGTATGGTTTTACACCGCTTTTAGCAATATTCCAGCAATATCACAGCGACGGACACCAGAAATAGGCTCCGAACATTGTACCCATGTCGGGAATCGAACCCAGGTCTTCGGCGTGACGAGCAAACGCTTTAACCACTAGGCTACCCGACCGCCCTAAACCAAGACAGGTAAACCGCTGCAGTACTTACTTGACTTGTTCTGTGCAGCTGAAGTCTGTCCTTGCACAGTTCTCTCCCTTGTTGCCTGGAGAAAATTAAATTATGGTTAGCTTATCATAGCATATGGCATATATTTCCTCAATGTTTTTAGTTTGTTAACTGAACTTACAATATTGTTGGTTTTCAAATGAACAAGTCGTTGGTCGAAATAAAACTTCACCAAAATTTTAATGAACTTTTCTGAGTTTCCTAAATTTATGCCACTTATCTCCTCTCAAGGCACATGTATGCTACCGTTTCTCCCAAAAGACTGCAAAAGTGGTTATGTCATACCGAGGAACTTGAATTCTTATCGGTAAACATTAGTTGAACCACTTCGCTTTATTTTCATATTTCACAACAAAACTAATTTGAGTGATGCTTCATGTTTACTTACTTTTTAATTTTTTCAGCAGTATTACAACAATATTTGAAAAAAAGTCTTTTTAATTATGTGGCTATTTCTCTTTTCCCTGATCCTTATTAATCATTGCTTTATGGACTGGCTGGCCATAAAACTTTTTGAAACAAATACTAGTATACATTTTTTAATTTGAAAGTAGGGGAATAAAGGTAATTCCATAAATATATACCACAAAATAAGTTTTCTTTCATTTTAATTTGTCTTTATTTCACCCTATCCATCTCAGAGGAAAAACTCTTTCTTTATTTTTTGTCTTATTTCATTTAACCACCCAAATATCTGGGAAATTTCTGTAAAGTAAAAAAATAAAAGAGAAATCTTACCTCTCTACTCAACCAGACATCCTGATGCAGATCATTAAAGCTCTGAAATGCAGCTTCCCTTGGGTATTTCATCCGATCCAGCATTCCATCAAGCATTTTTAGCTGGTCCTGGAATCCTGATTGTCCATAAAGTGCATCCAGAGTTTGCGATACCATTTTACTGAGGAACTGTCTTTGGAATGTTACCGGGGCAATCAGTTTGCTTGGTGATTCCGTCTTCTCTAGACTCTGTTGTGATTTCTGGTCCAGCACTCCTTCAAGCATCTTCAGCTGGTCCTGGAATCCTGATTGTCCATAAAGTGCATCCAGAGTTTGCGATACCATTTTACTGAGGAACTGTCTTTGGAATGTTACCGTGGCAATCAGTTTGCTTGGTGATTCCGTCTTCTCTAGACTCTGTTGTGATTTCTGGTCCAGCACTCCTTCAAGCATCTTCAGCTGGTCCTGGAATCCTGATTGTCCATAAAGTGCATCCAGAGTTTGCGATACCATTTTACTGAGGAACTGTCTTTGGAATGTTACCGGGGCAATCAGTTTGCTTGGTGATTCCGTCTTCTCTAGACTCTGTTGTGATTTCTGGTCCAGCACTCCTTCAAGCATCTTCAGCTGGTCCTGGAATCCTGATTGTCCATAAAGTGCATCCAGAGTTTGCGATACCATTTTACTGAGGAACTGTCTTTGGAATGTTACCGGGGCAATCAGTTTGCTTGGTGATTCCGTCTTCTCTAGACTCTGTTGTGATTTCTGGTCCAGCACTCCTTCAAGCATCTTCAGCTGGTCCTGGAATCCTGATTGTCCATGAAGTGCATTCATAGTTTGCGATACCATTTTACTAAAGATCTCTTTCTGAAGCATGAGAGGTGATGCAGTTTGGTCTTCGGATAAAACCAGTTTGCTTCCGGACACTTCCACCTCTAGACTCTGAGATGACTCATCATCTTCTTTTTCATCTGGTGTTGTGTCAAGTTTTAGTTGTCTCAGAAGGCTTTGAAACGCATCCTTTGTCAATACCACCCTGCTTATTGGTGATGCTTCATTTCTGGAGTTAAAGTCAAGTGGTCCATCGAACTTTCTCACCATTTCCTTCATCAGTTGTAATTGTTGGTCCAGCAATCTTGCTTGTGCATAAGCTGCAAGCAGGTTTTGTAATTGTGGTTCACACTGACCACTGACTTCAACCAGTTTGCTTGGTGATTCTGCTGAATGCAGAGTTTGATCCTCGTCAGCTTCAGATGCTGAACGTTGAAGCTGTGTCCGGAGGCTCTGAAAGGCATCGCTTGTCAGCACAACATGTTTGCTTGGTGATGTTTTCTTTCCAAAGTGCATTTCCAGCAATTCTTCTTCTTCTTCTAATGTGGTCTGAACTTTTAACAGAGCTCTCTGTATGAGATCATTATTCAGCAACTCGGGTTGTGTATTGATGACAACGAGAGTCTGCAACACATTCTCCCCTTCCAGCTTTCTCTGCAGCTTCAGCAGTGTTGATGCTTCTTCATACGTGGAGATTCTGGACCAGCTTTGTGATACTTCCTGCTCTAGACTGATAGATGATCGACTCATCAGTACTTGGAACATGATCACGTCATACTGCATCAACACCCTGTTTGTGTCTTCCTCCACCACACACATTGTTCCGTATCCACGGGATACAGAAGCTGGTGCTACCACCAGCCCCACAAGGGCCAGGAACACCAATACTCCCTGGAAAATGAACACACAGTTGTAAGTAAGTTAGTTTGGTTTGTCAATCAACAATATTCAAGCAATATGACAGAAGTCTGTCAATATGTGTGTCTGGACCAGAAAATCGAGTGTCTTACATCATGATCATTGTTGGTTGGTTTGTTTTTTGTTTTACACCACACTCAGCAATATTCCAGCTATATGACAGCGGTCTGTAAATAATCGAGTCTGGACCAGACAATCCAGTGATTAATATCATGAGCATCGATCCACGCAATTGGAATCGATGACATACATCAACCAAGTCAGCGAGTCTGACCACCCGATCCCGTTAGGCGCCTTTTACGTCAAGAATGGGTTGCTGATGACATATTCTACCCTGGATCTTCATGTGCATCGATCCACACAACTGGGATAAGGTGAGGTGAAATTGGGTTTAACGTCGCGTCCAAGATTATTGCACTTATATAGCGACGTGCATGCACGTGTATGTGTGTGTGTGGCTGCTTGTACTAGTCCAGACTGATGCCGATTTATAGTGCTAGCTCACTGAGATACCATGCCGCAGTTTAACATGAATACCCCACTCAGACACAGTATACTGACTCCGAGCTGACCAGTCCTTGTTTTAGCCCCTTAATGCCGAGCGCCAGACAGGGTAACAACAAGTACCATCTTTTAACGTCTTTTTGTATGACGCGGCCCGGGATCGAACCCTGGACCTTCCGCTCTCCGGGCAGACGCTCTACCACAAGACCACGGAGGCGGTCACAACTGGGATAAGATAACATGACATTGACAAATCACGAAGCCTAAAAAACGGATCCATTTACCACAAGCATAGGTAGTTGTTTAATATTAACTAAGCAATATTCCAGCTCCATGACAGAGCTCTGTAAATATTCTAGTATGGACCGGGGACATGGGTGGCCCAGTCGTCTAAGGCGCCATGATTTGCTGTGCAGAGTTGCATCCCTTGGGCACGCCAGGCACCAATGATTATGGGTTCGCCCCGATTATGTTTCTAGGTTTGTCAGCACTAAACCCATGCTAGTGGGTTTCACTGAAGTGGTAAATGTCTGAGACCTGCATCACTTGGGGCTTTATTCCCACATTAAGCTGACACGCCATGATATAACATGAATAATGTTAAAAGCAGGGTTAAAACCAAACTCACTCACTCGCTCGCTGGACCAGACAATGCAGCATCTGACATAATGGGCATTGATCTTGTATGTTGATTTGGGTTGCTGAAGACCTATTCTGACTTGGATCTTCAGGGTTCAGTTTACATATGTGAGGGGTTTAGTATAAATTACTTGGTTTTTAGATTAACTAATAGTCCCATTATGTCACACTTTTAAAATAAAATAAGTATTTCTTTCTTTCTACAAAAATATAAAAATAATGGATGTCACCCTTTTATTGTCTTCTTTATTTCACCTGACCTTCATATCATTAAAACTCATTTTGGATCGAAGACAAGCATCAACCAAGTCAGCGAGCCTGACCACCCGATCCCATCGTAAAAGGCGACTTACGGGATCGGGTGGTCAGACTCGCCGACTTGGTTGATGCATGTCATCGATCCCAATTGCGTGGATCGATGCTCATGATATTAATCACTGGATTGTCTGGTCCAGACTCTATTATTTACAGACCAACGTCATATTGCTCGAATATTGCTGAGTGCGGCGTTAAACAACAAACAAACAAACAAACAAACCAAACCAATTGCATGGATGGATGCTCATAACGGGATCGGATGGTCAGGCTCGCTGACTTGGTTGATGCATGTCATCGATCCCAATTGCGTGGATCGATGTTCATTATGTCAATGGCCAAAAAGTAATGGCCAAAAAGAGTTTTTTTGGAACATGTCAGTCATATTGAAAATCAGATTCAAACCTCAAATGAGTCATTGAGTATGGTTTTATGCCGCTTGTAGCTTTATTCCAGCAATTTCACGGCTGGGGACACCTGAAATGGGTTTCACACATTGTATCCAAGTAGGTCCTGAATCAAACCCGGGTCTTTGCCATGACTGGCGAACGCTTTAACCACAAGGCTACCCATCGCTCACAAAACTCAAATGAAAAATGGGACATGTGTTGCGCCACTACTAATGACACAGACACAAAATTTTATTTTACATTTTGCACAAAAACCTCTGAGTTATCACCTTAAAGGACCTTTCACTATGATCAAAGTGCAAATGTCAAAATTTTAAATATCGCAAAAAAATCTGAGCCAATCTCATTAAGATCAGATCTTAGTTCTCGCTATCACTAAACAAAGGTCTCAGGAGATCCCATTATGGGTCACGCCAGAACGACCTTTCATTCGACCAATCAAGACGTCGCTTACCAGATCATGAAAGTGACAGTCAGAATGTGTTTTCTAACCATGCAACCTCAAAAACATTAACACAGGGTATTCTAAATGACAGTTATGGGCTGTACGACTGATTCCGTCAAAATATCGCCTATCTCGCGCTTCCGTTGGATAAACATTTGAATGGGGGAGAACTAAGATCTAATTTTTATGATACTAACGTCTGATGTACTGAATTTCATTTCAAGTAAAAGAAAATTGTGAGTGAGTGAGTTTTTAACAGTATTACAGTTATATCACGACGTGTCAGCTTAATGTGGGAGGAAAGCCCAAAGTGATGCAGGTCTCAGACGTTTATCACTTCGGTGAAACCCACGAGCACGGGTATGGTGCTGACAAACCTAGAAACATAATCTGGGTGAACCTGGATTCGAACCCACAATCATAGGTTTCTGGCGTGCCCAAGGGACGCAACTCTGCACAGCGAATCGCAGCGCCTTAGACGACTGGGCCATCCGTGCCCCCAAGAAAATTGTGAGTAATGGTACAACAAAGGTTCAAATATCATAAGAGCTATTGACCTGAGAACTAATTATATGAAATGTTCTGAAACTAGTTCAAAGAAGAAATTAAGACAAGTCTCACCTTTAATGTGTATTTTCCCATGGTGGAGCTCAGCATTGTCATGTTAGATTACCCACACCAGGGCAGCTGAAACACAAAGTGAAATCATTGTAAAATGTCTGTCATTTTTGCCTCCTTTGTTTGTTTGTTGTTGAGTGCCGTACTCCAGTGATTGACATCATGAGCATCGATCCCAAAATTGGAATACGATGACATGCATCAACCAAGTCAGCGAGTCTGACCACATGGTCCCGTTAGTCACAGGGTAGAATAGATCATCAGCAACCCATGATTGCCGTAAAAGGCGACTATGCATGTTGTTAGAGGCGACTAATGGGATCGGCAGGTCAACCTCACTGACTTGGTTGATGCATGTCATCATATCCCGATTGTGGGGGGGGACAGTCGGGTAGCCTAGTGGTTAAAGTGTTCGCTCGTCACGCCAAAGACCCTGGTTTGATTCCCGACATGGGTACAATGTGTGAACCCCATTTCTGGTGTCCCCCGCCGTGATATTGCTAAAAGGGGCGTAAATCCATACTCACTCATTCAACCAATTGTGAGGTGAGGTGAGGTGAAATGGGGTTTAACGTCGCGTCCAAGATTATTGCACTCATATAGCGACGTGCATGCACGTGTATGTGTGTGGCTGCTTGTACTAGTCCGGACTGATGCCGATTTATAGTGCTAGCACACTGAGATATCATGCCACAGTTTAACATGAATATCCCACTCAGACACAGTATACTGACTCCAAGCCGACCAGTCCTTGTTTTAGCCCCTTAATGCCGAGCGCCAGACAGGGTAACAACAAGTACCATCTTTTAACGTCTTTTGGTATGACGCAGCCAGGGATCGAACCCCGGTCTTCCGCTCTCCGGGCGGACGCTCTACCACAAGACCACGGAGGCGGTCCAACCAATTATGGGATCGATGCTCATGTCAATCACTGGATTGTCTGGTCAAGACTCGATTATTTATAGGCCGCTGTCATAAAGCTGAAATATTGCTGAGTGCGGCGTTAAACAACAAACAAACAACACCATACTCGGCAATATTCCAGCTATTTGACAGCGGTCTGTAAACAAACGAGTCTGGACCAGACAATCCTGTGATTGACATTCAGAGCATCTTTCCATGCATACGATGATTTTGGTTAGTTGGTTTGTTGTTTAACGCTGCACTCAGCAATATTCCAGCTATATGACAGCGTTCTGTCAATGATCGAATCTGGACCAGACAATCCAGTGATTGATATCATAAGCATCGATCTACGCAATTTGGATCGATGACATGCATCAACCACGACAACAAGCCTGACCACCTGATCCTATTAGTCGCCTTTTACGGCAAACATGGGTTGCCGAAGACCTATTCTACCTCGGAATCTTCACAGGTCTCATACGATGAAAAGCATCAACCAAGTCACTAAGTCTGGGTGGTACCGGTACATAGATATACGGGAAGAATTTTGAAGATCTTTCCCAGGTATAATGTTCACCTGTACAGGAACAATACTTCTGGTAAATCAATTCCCCCAGAACAAATTTACAGTGGGACATATTTACTCTCACACATACATGTATATTGATCAGGGTATACACTAGCAGCCTCCTCTGGGGCGATATTGATTTTGTCGAATCCATCCCACCCGCAGAGGGTGGTGTTGACCTGCTTACACAACGCTATGAAAACGATTCACTTCACACAATAATCCAAAACCCTAAACAACAGCTTACTCGCCTCTCAGCTTAATCAAATCGTCCACCTCAGCACACACACAGGATAGATGGAGAAAACCAACCAGCCAAAACAATGGACACAACACCTAATGGTGCAACAGTAGTCATTCTAAAATTTGAAAACTGAGTATTTTCCATTATTTTGAGTATGAGAAGGAGGTACCTGTAATGCTGCACACCTGTTCTGAAGATAACCTCATGTGATGCAATACTAAAGCAATACCTTACCTGAATGAACAGGCTATATTTAGAACCAGTCCATGATTCAATCAATAGACAATGGCGTCAATAGATTTCCAAGGTTTACCTGGGGTTACACTTGGAAGGCAAACTGGGAAATGTTTTGTTATTTAGTGAGTTAAAATTTAACAAATCAGGATTCATTAAAAGTTATTTTCTTAATTTCAGAGATATTTAACATTGTATTGTATTTCAACAATGCTTCAATTTTGTTATTCTCTTTTTTTAAGACAGAATAGGCACTGGTAGAAATTGTAATAGAGTTGCTTTGAATGCTGCTTTGAACACTATTCCAGCTACATCAGGGCATGAGACCCACGAAGATCCGGCAACCGATGCTTGTAGTTGAAGAAGACTATGCCTGTCTTTAACAGGATCGGGTGGTCAGACTCACTTGGTTGATGATGTTTGTCATTGTATGCCAATTGCGTGGATCGATGCTCATGATGTCAATCACTGGATTGTCTGGTCTAGACTCAATTATTTACAATTATTTTACCGGAGTCATTTAGTTGGAATATCGCTGAGTACGGCGTTAAACAACAAACAAACAACTTGGAAGGCAAACTGGGAAATGGGCTAGTGTGAACGCTGCTTTGAAGACTAGCATCGATCCACGCAATTGAGTACACTGTCATAGGGTATCCATGTTAAACTGGTATCTCAGTGGGCTAGAACTATATAACTGACAAGCAGTCATACTCAGAGATATGTGTGTGTGTGTGTGTGTGTGTGTGTGTGTGTGTGTGTATGTGAGTGAAATAATCTTGAATGAGATGTTAAAACTTATTTTACCACCTTTAACAAAATCTGTAAAGAAGGGAAAATTGTCTCAACAGTCACTCAAGCATAAAGTCTGCATACACAATCCTACACCTGATACCTTACAGCCACGACATTACCTAGGTGGTCATGCACAGATGAGTCCCCATACACGACCCAAAACCTGATACCTCTCAGCCACGACACTACCTCGGTTGTCACTCACAGACGAGTCCCCATACACGACCCAACACCTGATACCTACAGCCACAACATTCAGTGAGGTCTGTACATACAGCAGGTTTGTTCATACAGGTCTGTAGTGAGTGGTAGTGATTTGGTTGACAGGTCTGTAGTGAGTGGTAGTGATTTGGGTGACAGGACTGTAGTCAGTGAGTGAGTGATTTGGGTTTCACACAGCTTTTAACAGTATTCCAGTTATATCACGGCGTATCAGCTTAATGTGGGAGGAAAGCCCCAAGTGATGCAGGTCTCAGATGTTTACCACTTAGGAGAAACCCACGAGCACGGGTATGGTGCTGACAAACCTAGAAACATAATCGGGGCGAACCGTGATTAACAATCATAGGTTTCTGGCGTGCCCAAGGGACGCAACTCTGCACAGCGAATCGCGGCGCCTTTGACGACTGGGCCACCCGTGTCCCCAACACTGAAAGATCTTTGAGTACGTGCCTCCTTAACCTACCCAGAACCCAAAGCACAAATCAGTGGTAAAATAGTAGTATTTATTGATGAACCTAATTGCAAAATCTGCAAGAAGTTAGAAAACAAAACAACCTGATGCCTCTATATTGGGACCTACGTAATGCCAATAGCAAGCTGGCCAGATTAAGTGTTCAATTAGAATTCTACAAGTCGTGTGTTCAGGCAGAAATCATCCCTGAGACCTTTAGAATAATCACACCTATTATTCAAGCCACCTACCCTTTAGAGACAGCCACCAAGCTGTGAAAGAATGCAGTTTTTATCTCTTTAAACTACATATTGAGCTGGGGTGGTCGGGTAGCCTAGTGGTTAAAGCGTTCGCTCGTCACGCCGAAGACCTGGGTTCGATTCCCGACATGGGTACAATGTGTGAAGCCCATTTCTGGTGTCCCCCACCGTGATATTGCTGGAACATTGCTAAAAGCGGCGTAAAACCATACTCACTCACATATTGAGCTGTTATCCAAACAGATTAACTCTCTGAACACTTCAGTGCTTGAACTTAATCAACGGTTCCAAGCCCAAGCTGACCCAACCTCGGTCAACACTACGAAGACGGCCATTGACGCTGTCATCGAGAAAGAGTCATGGTTTGGTTGGTTGGTTTGTTGTTTAACGCTGCACTCAGCAATATTCCAGCTATATGACGGCGGTCTGTAAATAATTGAGTCTGGACCAGACAATTCAGTGATTAATATCATGAGCATCAATCCACGCAATTGGGATAGATGATAGAAAGCGTCTGAAAATCAACATAAAAAACTGAACGCCTTACAAACAGCATCACTTAAGGAAGACCCCTTCGATGTAAGGCAGAGGGTGAAGCCGCAGCCAATGCTGCAACCGGCGCCAACCACCTCCCCGCCGGTACCAGCCAACCCGCCGGCGTAATGATAGAAGTACCAACAACAAGGACTTGAATAAAGCCCTTAAATTACTAGTCAAACATTTGGACAGTAACAACTCTGCTCAACCTCCCAATCTCTGTAACCAATTGCTCAAATTGAACATTGAACATCAACAACTCTTCAAATAAAAATATTGAAGATTGCTTTGTTGTCAATCTTTCTGACCACCAATTAAGTAACTGCGAATTAGAGCTACTTACCAAAGGACTAACTTTTAGTCCCACTCCCAAAACTATAGACAAGAGTCAGACACTATCTGATCTAAAAAGTTTTTTTAGAAAATTAAGACTAGCCCATTTCTTTCATGATTTGGAAAATACCAACAATTCGCAAAATAAAGATGCGCATTTAGATAGAATTTTCGGGCCTAAAAGAACATGGGTACCTCGAAATAATTATGATCCTACACTAGAATCATTTATCAAAGCAGTCACAAATGATTTCTTTCGGCGCCCAAACTGCTGCCATTTCTTACCTAAAATATCAAAGAAATTGTCATCAAAGAGGCAGACAAGGGCACGGCAGTAGTAATTCAAAATACTACGGACTATATTAGAGAAGCTGAAAGAAAACTCTCTGATACCAAATTCTATTGTAAATTACAGTACGACCCAACCGAGGAGTACTCTAATTTAGTCACTACAGAACTAACTAATCTCCTGTACAAAGAGGAGATATCACACAAAGTCTTCTCAGGACTCACTCCAGAGAATGCTAAAGCAGGTAGATTTTACTTGCTCCCCAAAATTCATAAATGTCTCACACCCGGAACAGTACCTGGCCCGCCCCATCATCAGTGGGAATGGAACAGTTACTGAGAACATTAGCAAATTCGTAGATGAACACATCAAACAGTTTGTCAGTCTATATCCGAGTTATATAAAAGACACAACTCATTTTATTCAGAAGCTTGAAAAATATTCCCAAAAATTCATAAACAAGGGTAACCATGGAACCGCGTTACGTCAATCTATTTCTGGTTGGTTGTAAGTTCGCGGGCCCGGGAAATTCTAAGCGTCACGTTGATCCGAATTGTGAAAGAGCAAACACGTACAATTTAAGATGGCAGGATAAATGGATAATTCGTTTTTAATTCGAGGATTTTGTGATAGAAGAGAAAGTGTGCCTAACGGGAGTTAGTAAGGAGAACATGGACCATGGGAGTAAGGATCAGAGGATCAGGAACATGGACCGGGAACTTCCACGGAAGGCTGAAGGCAGTGTTCCGACTCTACTTGGGTGAGTTCATGTGGGAGAGATTTGCGGGGGGGGGGGGGGGGGGGGGGGCTTCACGGGTCATAACTTATGATTGGTTGTTGCTTCACGTATTTGTTACTATTCGTGCTACTTTAGCTCGGTGCATGAATCGTGGGTTACTCGCTAACCATGTCACCTGTGATGTGTGCAAGAGGTCGACGTATCTTGCCAGGGAAACTGGGAATCATCGGAGTAGTGACGGCATTCGATGGACTTGTCGTAGAACGATTGATGGAGTTAGGCATCAATGTCATAAATCAATTCGAACTAAAAGCTGGTTCACTGATGCTCGCATCAATATGGCTCAATGTTTGAAATTGATTTTTCATTGGTGTCAGAACTGTTCAGAGTTTGATTGTCAAACTGAGTATGGTTTTTCTTCGTCAACGACTACTGACTGGTACAACTTTTGTCGGGAGGTGTGTGATAAATCGGTCTACAGAGAATGGAAAAGATAGGTGGGCCAGGCATTATTGTTGAGATTGAGGAATCAAAGTTTGGCAAACGAAAATATCATAAAGGTCATTATGTTGAGGGCCAGTGGGTGTTCGGAGGTGTTGAGAGATTGGCCCGAAACAATATTTTTTATGGTACCAGTAGAACGCCGAGATATTGACATTTTGATTCCATTAATCAAACAGAGGATTTTACCTGGTTCAATTATCATTTCTGATTGTTGGAAAGCATACAATCCTCTTGATTCTGATCTGGGTTATACTCATCTAACCGTCTATCAATCACTGGATTTTCTGGTCCAGACTCGATTATTTACAGACCGCCATCACATAGCTGGAATATTGCTGAGTGCGGCGCTAAACAACAAACCAACCAACCACTGTCAACCACTCCGAGAACTTCAGAGACCCCATCACAGGTGCGCATACAAATACAATAGAAGGTGCTTGGCTTCATGTGAAAGCGATCCATGAATAAGTATGGAAGTCAAGTCGCTCTTTGAATCGTATCTCAATGAGCATATCTTGAGAGAGAAATTATCTTGGGATGGCGGAGACTTGTTTGATGCTTTTCTTCAAGAGGTTTCCCGTCAAAATCCGCTCTCAAACTTACCTGTATCCATTCCACTTCAGCCTGCTTCTTTCACGCCTCTTGCTGCTACCTCCACCCACTGAACGACGTCCAGATCCATGATTGGTATTTACCAAACGCCAATGCAATTACTTTTGTTGAATGTTTAATTAAATTCATTCACATTTGTAAGTGTATGGTATTTGTGTGAACAATCACCACGTTGATGCAAGCAATCAAAAAAAAAAAAAATCCCTGCACCCACCAAGCACCCTC